TTAAATAAAAACAAACCTCGAAGCGGTTTGTATTTTGTGTCAAAATTTGAGTTTTAGAAGCGTACACAAATCAACTTAACTTTAGTGTATAACTAGCTGACCCGCGCAACTTCGTCTGCGTTTCTCAATAGTAATAAATTTTCTCCGTTTTTGAAACATTCTTCATTGGTGCTCAGCTCCTATTGGTCTTAGCGTGATGATATATAGCCTATAGCCTTCCTCGACAAATTGGCTATCTAACATTGAAAGATTTTTTCAAATCGGACCAGTAGTTCCTGAGATTAACGTGTTCAAACAAACAAACAAATAAACTCTTCAGCTTTATATTATTAGTACCTATAGATAACTGGTGCCCGCGACTTCGTTCACGTGGAATTTGCAAAGTGCTGCCTTAGTGGGTTCGATTGCCAGATCGGCCAAAATTTTAAAGGGTTTTTCTGAGAATAGCCTAAGTTACTCCTTATATAGATAGCTACCTGGTAGTAAAATATTATCATAATCGGTTTAGCCGTTTTGAAGATTACCCAGAACAGACAGACAGACAGACAAAAAATATTTAAACTCGTTTTTAGGCATAGGTATCGTGCAAAATAACCGTGCAAAAACCATTTTTTTTGGAATTACAAACAGACCCTTCAATTTTATTTATTTGTAAAGATGAACGATTCAGGCGAAGCCCTCCTGTGACCATGGCTCGCAAAACCTGGCCAAATGTCAAACAGAAAAGTAAAAAGGTAACTTATAAATTAATAAACGCGTAAATTCCCGTTTATTTTTTCTTCTTTCTTCTTTAAAAAAGATTACTCTCGCATTAGGAATAAATCCTGTGTCACGGGGGACTTTACAAAGATACATGAAACGGACACAAAGAATACCCAGACTCAGAACAACAATTCGTGGATCACACAATGTGTCGTCCCATGTGGAGATCGGACCCACAACACTCAGCGTAGTAGTAAGCGGCGAGGGGACCGCTTAAACCACTACGCCATCCGTGCAGTCGATTACTTTAATTTACTTTTCTAAATTAAGTTGGCGAAAGGTTGTGGTTTCTATTCCCACCCACGATAAATGTTGTGTAATGGGGACCATCATATGTTGTGTCAGTCGACTTAAAGAGTAACCCTGTGTGTGTGTTAAAAAAAAAAGTTTGTAAAATGTGGGTGTTTTAAAACGCCTTTATAATTAAGATAACGAATATTATCATCAATCATCATCAACAGCCTTTAACAGTCCATTGCTGGACATAGGTTTTTCCTTAGGAAGGAGGTTTGGGCCTACTATACCACGCTGGCTAGACGGATTGGTATAGGGTTTGTTTCAAGTTTTCCTTCTCTTTGCAGTTTTGTTGTCCTGCATAATTTGCACAATTAGTCGGCTCTTACGACACCCACGGGATGAGTGGGGGTGGTGACAATCCGTATTCTTAATCCGTCACCACACCGATTATTAAGAGTATCCTAATTATTTCAGCGCCTCTATGTTTAAAACACTTCAGAATAATAAAAACCGTTGCGCCTATAGTGATGGTTAACCGCAATCCTCTTTAAAATAAAGCTTCAGTGGTTTATGGCAACATTGGATGGCGTAGTGGTTTGTGTAACGGACTGCTATTCCAAAGGTCGCGGGTTCAATTCACGCTCAAGTCAAACATTTGTGCGCATGAACATGTAATGTTTGATTTGGTCTTTGTGTTTCTATGTATGTATTTACAGAAAAAGTATTTAAGTATTTATATCAGTTGTCTAGTACCCATAGTACAAGCTCTGCTTAGTTTGCACTAGATGGCGTTGTGTGAATGTTTTAGAATATATTATTATTTAGCACGTATTTATATTTAATTAAAGCTCTCCGATGTCATTCTATACTAAATAGTCAAAAACTAGCAAATGGTAGGTATCAATTATCATACGTCCAATATTACCCAACTTCACTGTATTTGGTACAGTGATTTGAAGTTGGCGGTTCCAATATTACCTAAAATCACTGTATTTGGTACAGTGATTTGAAGTTGGCGGTTCCAATATTACCCAAAATCACTGTACGAATTCCGTATATTTGAGTAATATTGTAAACTCCAGGAATCACCAGCTCGAAGTTGAATTCCTAATCTTTAACTATCTGGTATCGTATCCAATACAAGCTAAAGTTAAGATTTTCAGGTTTTCTGTGGATTCGTAATGATTTGTGTTTCTTCTTTGGTCATCTTAGTTTCGTAGAAAAACAAAACCTTATGGAGATAGTCGATGCTTTCCTAGAAAACTTACTTAAGAGTGGAACTATTAAGTAACTTGTAAAAAGGTCGATAAGTGTTTATGGATAAAATCATTGTCTTATTTAGGGTTTTGAGCATCCTACGGTGGCTATGAGCTATCTAATGGCCCCACTTAGCAAGCAAGTTAGGCCTTGGAGAAAATGCTTCTGTAATATCCTATATGACCGGACCTAAAATGTTATTGGCATTGTGAGTTGTTTTTGGTTGTTTTTTTTTTCTCAAAAATGATGTGCCTAAATGATGTGATATGAGTTCCGAATCTATTAGAAAAATATTCGTAATAAGAACTGCACAGTGTACACGTCCCACAAAATTATCTAAACGTAAAGCAAATGTCAACAAGCCACGCGTATTGATATTAGTGACGTCACTTTAGTAAAATAGTAAGTAAAATATCTGTTTGTTGTTTCTTCATAGTATTTCAACTAAATTTAAATACAAATTTTGATGGATTAAAAATAAATAAGAAAGGGAACCAAAACTTGTAGATTATTTACATATGTATATATGTTGTTTTAACTAATTTAATTTCAGTTTTATGATTACTCATATTCCTTAATTATAGTATTTTTTAGTGTTAAACAGTTCTTTGGAACACTGAAAGGACAAATTTATAAAACATGACATGTCATGATCATCAGACCTGCCGTCCTGGTGTTAGGCAGGTGTCCTAGGCAGATGATGAGTTTCTCGGAGTACAGTTTCATAAGCAGTACCACAACCACATGGATGCGAAGTAAGGGCATTACATCCGTGTGGATTTGAAAGTATAAATACATATTTAGAGTAAGGACTCTAAATAAATTTTAATACTTTCAATTTTAAAGTATCTAACTCTAATTTTGATTTTAGGGTTGACAACTATCCATGGTTACAGAAAACAATGAAGTCCTCATCTTCTTTACAAGACTACTACTATTAATGTGGTTTTCCTGCAGTTGTGGTTAGGTCAGACCTTTAAGCATATGAAATTTACCAATTTCTAATTTAAATCTATGTGACTGGTTTTTTCAATACCAATTTAAATGTTTCTGAAAAAATTGAAATACAGATAGAAAATATGATTAAAAGTCAGCTAGTTAAAGCTTGCAGCTGAAGTGCAAAAGGCCACTGCTAAGACAATTGAAAAACTCAGTGAAAATTGTAATTGTACTGGTGGCTATTATCCTACGGTCATGTCAAAAAAAATTAGCTTAATACTGCCAATAAATTCAATATTATAACCTAAAAAAAATAAAATGATATTCATTACTTTTTATGTATATTACGAACAATATTAAATATCTCTAAATAAATAAAAAAATGGATTTTTTTCATCTTTTTTGGGTTTTAAAACACTGATATGGTACTTTGGCCACGTATTATGTTCAGTGTTGCTAAGCTAGTGGATTTTCCGAGCTTTTAGTGGCGAAATTTAGCTTGTAGTGGCTGGTAGATTTTTTTAGTGGTTATTAGTAATAGTAAGATTATAGAGGACTTAGGAAATGCTGTTGAAAGATGAACTGTGAGAACTGTGTGTGTACGCAAACCTCAATGAAGTTGGAGACTAAATAAGGATGGGGTTCGATGGAAGTACTCAAGAAGAAAAGTATTAAAATTTTGGGCAATGGGATGATGTAGGCTTTGTGCCAGAGAGAGGAAAAGTTTTCGGGATTGAGAAAGAATTTAATAATGTGGGCTATAACTTTGCGGACGTAATCCAAGATGGTAATTATTATCCTACGGTTTGCAAATCATCGCGTTACAACAGACAGACAGGATGATCTTTTTGATGTCCCCAGAAGACACAGGAGAAAGTTCAAAGTTGACAATATTGGCAGACCCAATATTGTCTGCCCAGAGGCAGACCAGCGATATAATTCAGGGTTCAACTCTATGTTTAATGATCCGTCAGAATAGTAGTCATTTAAACCAATGAAACTCGGTCCGTTGTTGTTTACCAATGCGCAACGTGTTATGGAACTTCCACACACTAGAGGAGACAAGCCAAGGGACTTAGACATTTTAACAATTACTCTCTTCATCGTTTCACTTTCAATGCCGATCTTAAGTTGAGCGACTATAGGTAAAAACAGAGGAATAGAATGGAGTTAAATCTTTTATTTGCTATTAAACTTTGTAAAAAAAATCGGTAACAAAGAATCGTCAGTATGTCAATCGAGTATGATGGTGATAATAAAAACGAGAACAATAAACAATCATTACGATTGCAGTATCAGTATTAAATTTAAAAAATATGAAAGAAACTAGTGATTAATTGACTGGTTTTCTTTTGTTATTACTAAAAAAATGTTTTGTGGAAAATTTAGTGCCTATTAGAGTAAGGCCGTTTTTTGCCAGTGGTTTTCTGGTGGTTTTAGATGTTGAATCTGATGGAGAGTGCATTTAACTGTTGGCAACACTGATCATGTTGTGTACCGTTTTGGTATATAAAAACTGGTTTGTTTAACTGGAGTGTTTTAAGGTCTCTGAACTCATTATTATTACAGATAGATGATGACAATGAAAATATCCTTAATCAACTACATTTATTAGTCGAGTAAATAAACTAAAGTTGTTTGTAGCCATCACTACAAAATTGATACGTCAAACGCGTTCGCGTATTGATGCATACGAATCGCGTTCGCCGATTCTTTTAATAAACGAATTTAAGTAAATATTAAACAAGAAAACGTGTCAATTAACCACACATATAATAGAGTAATAATAAAAAAATTAATGTAACATGGTTAGGCAGAGAAAATCAGCCTTACGGCAGTCAAATAATAATGAAACAAGCAGTAGTTCTGGTAGTAGTGAATCGTCTATTGGAAATAGGACGTTTAAATTCCTATCTGTATGGAAAACTGCTGTCGGCTTCGCCTGTTTCCTGATCGCAGTGTATGTGAGCACCTTAGGGTACTTGGAGACCAGGGTTAACACACCTTTTGACGACGATAAGGTTCGGACACTCATTAACTGATAACGCTTGATTATTTTATAAGTTTAATGTGTCTACTTTATTTACATAGGTGTATGTGTAGTTTTAGTGCTTCATTTATTGAGACCTATGTCTATTAATGTTTTATAGTTACAAAAATTATTATTTCCTTGGTTTCTGGTTAGATAATTTGTTTATTTATTTAGGACAACTTATAAAACATACACTAATACATAGTTTACTAATATGTTTTACAAATATGTGCTGTGTATTGTCTTACTTGTTGCCTATAGATAGTTCAACTCAGTTGTGCGCGCGGCCCTATGTGTGCGTGGGCTTGTAAATATATGCAGTGACGCGGTAGTCGTCGTCCGAGCAAGACGAATACCACACGAATGAAAGTTGTATATTTACAAGCCCACGCACACATAGGGCCACGCACACATAGGGCCGCGCGCACAACTGAGTTGAACTATCTATAATAGTGTGAAATTAGCGTATGTATGTATAGTATTTATGTATAAATATAGATTAGTAGGATTTATGTAAAATAAATATTTCATAGGTTAAGACCTCACCTATGAACGGTTCAAAATGAATTCAGTCCATCCAAAGGTTGCCTGGAAGAAATTGCACTAAGCGATAAGGCCGCCCTTTGTACATTACATCTGTTGTTAATTACTTTATAATGTCTGTAAAACCCTGGTGTACAAATAAAGTATTTATCTATCTATCTATCTCTCACTTATAAAAAGGGTACCTCTCCAATGGATCAAAGGGATCAGCTTCAGCAATGACTGGTGTCATTCCTGTGTGAAGCCATGATATCAGACATCAGTTCACTTTGCAGAGGATATCTCAAAGCAAAACAAATGGCCGCCCACTACTATTTACTTTCTTTTTCCAGGTTGTCCAACAAAATGGGTTACAAGTACCAGACAGGTACTGGGGTACATACAGACCAGGAGTATATCTCGGGCTGAAGAGCAGAGAGCCACGGTCACCTGTATTCGGTCTTATGTGGTATCAGCTAGCCCAGGCTACACACAAAGGGATCAGGTATGTTAAAATTTGAATCGGTTGACTGTGGTGCCTGATGACACTCCACAATGTCTTATTTTACATAGAGAGCAATCTGCGATTTTATAATAATATAATATAATGTTTCGGACATCTGACACAATGCCATCTAGTTTCAAACTAAGCAAAGCTTGTACTATGAAAGCTAGAATGACTGATAGAATACTTATATACCTTTCTTTTTGTAAATATATACATATTATACATAGAAAACACCCAAATTCCGAAACAAATATTCGCAGATCATAATAACATTAGGTCCGACCCGGGAATCGAACCCGAGACCTCAGCACAGCAGTCGCATAAAGTGCTACTGCACCATCGAGGCAGTCAAATTAAACTCACACTTCTCACACACGGTCTTTAGATCCCAAAATAGGCAGAGCCTGTTCTACATTGACCAGACTGCTGATAAATACATGAAAATATTTATATAAATATGTATCCATACTAATTATCCATACCAATTGGGTTCATCACACAGTTATTTGTTCTGGATGGAAATTGAACCCATGACCTCTGGTTGGGCAGTCAGTACTACTAAACCAACAGGCCAATAAAATAATAACCTAGGAGGTATTACACATGGCTATCTAGATTGAAACTTAGCACGGATTGTACCATCAGCCTCAAAAAGAAGTATAAAAAAATAATTGTTTCATCACATCACATCAACAGCCTTTAATAGTCCACTTCTGGACACAGGCCTTGTAGGAGGTTAAGAACCAAAAACACATTGATACTTCTGAATATTATTTGTTTATTTAATATAAGTCACAAGGAAGGTAAGTGCGTCTTGCCTAGCACATGATCACAGGTCAAGAGAAGTGGGCGAGTGAATGCTGAACGATTATACTATCGGATTGACAACACAACATATCGATTATAACTATTCGATTAATATCTATTTATAATGTATTTATTTTTGCATTATATTTAAATATTCAACAGGCCTCTTCTTAGAAAGGAGGTTTTGGCCTACAAGTGGCGGTTTGTAACAAGTTTTCCTTTTTCTGTTTGCATCTTAGCAGTGCTGTTGTTCTGCATAGTTTGATCCCTTAGTCGGACCCACGGCAGGAATAGGGGTGGTGATACTGCATATTCCTATTCCGTCACCGCATGGATTAATCTTAATGTATCAGTGTATTTACCAGTAATCTGGTTATCATAGCACAGGCTCAGCCTAGTTAGGGATCAGACTGCGGTGTGTGAGATGTGTCAAATTATTATGATTATAAAGTGATTTGACTAAATGATTTTTGCTGAATGTGGTGTAGTGACGGATTAAGAATACGGAATGGCACTACCCCAATTCATCCCGTGGGTGTCGTAAGAGCCGACTAAGGGCGCTAAACAACGCAGGACACCAGCACTGTAAAAAGAAGGAATACTTGACATTAACCCTTTATCAACCCGTCTGGCCAGCGTGGTATAGTAGACCAAAACCTCCTTTCTAAGGAGAGGCCTAAGTGTAGCAGTGAACTACTATTGGCCGTTGATGCTGGTTCTCAGTTATTTCCTTCTTTTCAGACACTGGTGTGATCAAAATGATCAGCTAGCTACATATGGCTGGCTGAGACATGATGGGGTCACGTTCGGCGAGCAGTTGATATCAGACCCCCCTCATAACATTACGACATCGTTTGTTAAAACTCCTGGGGGTAAGCACGGTGGATTGTGGACAGTCCGTGTTAATGTTACTACAAAGGTAAGTTAGTTAGTATGATAAAAAAATTAATATGATAGGAGGATCACGGCCTCACAGAAAAACTATTTTTAAGTTGCTTTTCCGAGTGAGGGCAAAGGTATGTCATTACTACCACCCGACCACCACCACCTCGTCGGTCGGTGTTCACTCGTTGGCGACAGGTTGTCCACTAGTGGACACCGCGTTGTCAACCAGTGAACGTTGGGTGGGCCACCGGTGAAAGCCGCGTGGTCAAAGAATCGACATTACGTTGTCGGGTAAATATTCGTTCTTTTTAATTCTTTACCTTTCTGGATCATTCTCCTCCAGCAGAAATAAAATCCACAATTTGGAATGATTCTAAAATAATGAATTGTTTAAATCAATAATGACAACAATTCAAATATATTTAGTATATATTCAAAGTTTTTTTTTTAAATTTTGTTTTTTGACTTCTTATTGTCAATGGGCGGGGGTTTGCAGTTATTATCAGAAGACCCGTCTGCTCGTTTGCCCCCTACGTCATAAAAAAACTACAAGTTCAGGCCTGCCTGCCCTGCCTGGGGTATAATATTAATCTCGTCTTTGACACCTGTCACGGACAGGACTGTTTGTTTCATTAATGGAGAAATTTATAGAAGTCCCTTGACTGATCCAGTTTCCTCCGGCAACCCTAAATTGTTAGTTGTGAGTGAGGGAATAATCAAAGGGAATTATATATTAGATGTACAGTCTCAGCCTAGTTTGGGATCAGACGGCCGTGTGTGATTATTATTATAAAATAACAAAATAAATAAAATTAAGGGAATTGCTGTTATTTCCAGGGTAACACAAATGCACCATTCGTGTTGATATGGTACGCTGCCCTGGATGAGTCCATGGGCCCAGCCGCTCCACATTCCCGCCTCTGGTACGAAGATGGAGCCATACTAGGACATACTCCACAATTACATAACTTTAAAATCAATTTGGTGCCTCAGAAAGGTAAGTACCATACTTTAATATGCTTAAAAATTTTATGGATCTCACTTGGCTATAGATAAAAGCCAAGGTGCTATTGTCAGGGTGGTGACGGATTAAGAATACAGAGTGTCACCACCCCTACTCATCCCGTGGGTGTCGTAAGAGTCGACTAAGGGAGCGAACTACGCAGGATAACAGCACTGCAGAGAGAAGGAAAACTTGACACAAACCCTATACCAACCCGTCTGGCTAGCGCGGTATAGTAGACTAAAGCCTCATTTCTAAGGAGAGGCCTATGTCCAGCAGTGGACTGTTAAAGGCTGTTGATGTGATGATGTGAGCGGGACAGAGGTCACATTTATAGATGAAACTAGTAGTTGCTTAACCGGATAAAAGATATCCGGACAATCCTGAAGCTGCAAAGCCGATAAACGACCAGTGAGTACCTGGCCGAACATTTTATAGATTATAATTCTTCCGTATTTTCCTTGCGTGTGCGATTTGGAGAGAGAGAGAGCGGGGGGGGGGGAGGGGGGGAGGAAGGGGGATGGTGAGACGTAGATCAGAGCCATGCAGTGTGGTGTTAATTATCCGTTTAAACTAGTTTCTTGCTCATATTCACAGATGGCGTTGTTATCATGTGCGGGTTTTCGTACACTTAAATATAGATGGCGCTTTTACTTTTTTTTCAGGTAAGCTCTTGCACACGTCATTCTCAGAAGGCCATGCGCCAGGGTTACAACTTCTGAAAGAGAAGTACTATGCTCTACTGAAGGTTGAAAAACATGCTGTTTTCGGGCGGCTGGCTGTCCTCGGTCCTGATGATGAATTAAATGATAAGGTATTTTTAGTGTATTAATGTCCGTGTGGTGACGGATTAAGAATTCCGAGTGTTAATACCCCTGTTCATCTAGTGGTTGTCATAAAAGCCGACTAAGGAATAACAAGAGAGCGACGGGGAATTTGAAAACCGCTGCCTTATTGGGTTCGATTCCCGGAATAATAAAAAAGGAAAAAATCGGCAGTTCTCTTTTGCCGTGAATTCCACACACACTTTTTATTGTGCTTGCTGTGGTTTCCTGTGAGTGAAGGAGTACACCAATTTGATTCCCGTTTATCTTTCGTAGGAGATCCTAATTTTTTTTTTTTTCTAATAATGCCAGGTCCATTGCCGACGGTAATCACTTACCATCGGGTGATTCGTCTGCTGGTTTGCCCCCTCTGCCATAGTGTAGCAAACAACCTCTCAATATTTTTTTCCTTTTTTTTTGCAGGAAAAAGACATAAATTTTGTTCCAATACAGATGTTAGTAGAAACACCTTTCGTGGTAGACATCGTGTACACAACTGAGGACTTACCGACCCCCCCACTAAAAGGGGTTGAATATACCAAATCGTTAGAACTGAAAAAGCAGAACTTCGATAATGAGTTTGAAGAGAAATTCAAGTTGAATGAGAAAGGGTAAGTCGTTATCACTGTGTCTTGTTATTTTTGATGGTTGGGGGTTCGATTCCCAGATAAGATACACACAAAATATATGGATGAAGATCTTTCTTTACTTGCGTACTCGGGTTTCAGTATCCGTATTCAGTAATAGTATCAGTATTAGTATTCAGTATCAGTACAGTAGAAGTATCAGTATTCAGTAACAGTATCAGTATTCAGTATCAGTATTCAGTAGAAGTATCAGTATTCAGTAACAGTATCAGTATTCAGTATCAGTATTCAGTATCAGTATTCAGTATCAGTATTCAGTATCAGTATTCAGTATCAGTATTCAGTATCAGTATTCAGTATCAGTATTCAGTATCAGTATTCAGTATCAGTATTCAGTATCAGTATTCAGTATCAGTATTCAGTATCAGTATTCAGTATCAGTATTCAGTATCAGTATTCAGTATCAGTATTCAGTATCAGTATTCAGTATCAGTATTCTGTATCAGTATTTAATATCAGTATTCAGTATCAGTATCAGTATTCAGTATCAGTATTCAGTATTCAGTATTCAGTATCAGTATCAGTATTCAGTAGCAGTCGGTACTATGTTATGTTACGATCTACACGGGTCGCTTAAATCCGCTTATAAACCCCATTATAAAGTAAACGTTCACAATTTAAGAAGTTAACATGAGCATAACTATAAAAAACCTTATTTCTAGGTACTCTCCCGAAGACGTAGCAGTGGCTAAGGCGGCGTTGTCCAACATGGTGGGAGGTATTGGTTACTTCTTCGGCGCTGGTCGAGTGCAGTCGCAGTACACACGCGAGCCTGTTCCATACTGGAGAGCTCCCCTTTACACCGCCGTGCCCAGCAGGTACGGTACTAGATGGACATGTGGTCCAGGTTACAAGATGATGGCTCGAAGGACCATGTGTGATTTTACTTTTGCTTCTGTAGGTAAAACTAATCGCTTTCGTTGCAGGTCCTTCTTCCCCCGAGGTTTCCTATGGGATGAAGGTTTCCATGGTATGCTCGTAGGCCGTTGGAATTTGGATATCCAGATGGATATAGCTGCTCATTGGATGGATTTGATCAACGTGGAAGGATGGATTCCTAGAGAACAAATTTTAGGTATGACTACATTATTATTATTATTATTTAGTATGTATGTCCCCGCGTGTATGTCCTTTCTCAAGAATCAAACTAACTTCATACTAAAGTTCATCTGAATCGGTTCAGCCGTTATTGATTCCCCATACAAAATTTCTAACCACCTTTTCACTCCCACCGATATGGCCGTGTGGTATTGTGTCTGTGGCTGACTATCTGGTCCTTTAAATGGCTGGCTGTACTAAGATCCAGCATAACGTCTGCGAGCGAGGACAAAGAGATTGTTGGGGAAATGCGGGAGATAAAAACTGCAGTGGAGAGTCTCCAGATACGAGATCTCGTGGCTGGAATCTCTCCCTCGTACGCAGATGCAGTAAGGCAACCCAAGACACCATGGGAGCATAAGCCTACACATTCCCTCATCGTCTCTTCCACAGAGATCATGGATACCTCAGGCGAAGTAGTTGAGCATATCAGGGGAGCGCTGGACGCCAAGAAAAGCGGAATTCGGGTGGAGAAGCTGAGGAAGATACGGGACGGGAAGGTCATCCTCAGCTGCTCCACCAGAACGGAACTGGACAAGGTAGAGGCTAAACTAAAGAGGAATGCTAACATCGTATTCGAGGAGGCGAAAAACAAAAGCCCGTTGGTAGTTCTTAAAAACATCTTATCCTACAACACCAACGAGGAGATAAAGGCCGCCTTACTCAATCAAAACGACAAATTATTGGGGGACTTGGCGGCAGACATAAGCCAAGCTGAGGTTCTGTATAGGCGCAGGGCTCGAAACCAGCACGAATGCCACTTGGTGCTCAGAGTGTCGCCCGCGCTGTACCAAAAGCTGCTGTCGGTCGGCAGGGTTTACGTAGACCTTCAACGCGTCCGGGTGGAAGACCAGACACCATTAGTACAGTGCACTAAATGCCTAGCATACGGACACGGGCGCAAATTATGTACAGAGGCCGTGGACCTCTGCAATCACTGCGGCGGCCCCCACCTAAAAACAAAATGTGAGCAACATCTAGCGGCTCAGGCACCGACATGTCGAAATTGTGTGAAGGCGAAACAAAACGATACCGCTCACGGCGTTTACAGCGAGCAATGCCCTATTAGAAAAAAATGGGATGCGCTAGCGAGAACCGCTGTAGCCTATTGTTAAGGTCGCCGCGGGCGCCCCACAGGATGATAGCACCACCGAGCTGGTCACATCGAACATCAATCCGCACATAATCGGGTATAATAGACGCTGCAACAACACATTGGAGCTAAAGTGCAAAAACTACACACACACATCTGAACCTGTAGATCCAATAAATTGGACGTACTTTCGTCTGAAAGGAAGCCAATTTAAGCTCATGCTGGTCAATGTCAGTGTAGAAAAACTTTTTAGATATAAATTGTATAGGATAGGTATTAGAAATTATGCTTGATTTATATTTTGACAAATATATTATAAAGCATATTAAATATAGAATCGAAATAGTTCTAAGTAAAGCTGGATAAAAAGCCACAAACAATGTCAGTGTTAAGACAAATAATAAGACGTAGTGTTAAGTTGAGCGTAATAGTAGTCCCAAAAATGTTAGTGTTAAAATAAATAATAAGATGTAGTTAAGTTGAGCCTAGTAAATAGTCAAACCATAAGTTTATATGTAAAAGCGATCCCTCAAAACCGCGAATACTATGTACTAAGTATGGCATTGTAATAAAAGTAACCATAAATATATAGAATAGTAATCATGATAAAAAACAAATGTTAAAAAATCACCATCCACCAAAGGTCTCCGATCATGTTGGAGGAGCAAACAGATTTTATATAAAAAAAAAAAAAAAAAAAAAAGACTATCTGGTCCTGCCGGTGGCTGCAGCGGGGCAGCGGTCGGGGTCGCTCACGAAAATAGCCCCGATTGGCCCCGATCAGTTGTGAATGCGACCGGTAGATATCGAGTACTCGATAAAAGTTATTATTATTATACTACTCTATCGATTATCTATACAAATAAATAAAATTGGAGTGTCTGTTTGTAATATTAAAATAACCGCTTTTTACTAAATGCAGATGTATGTTTACACGGTACATATGCCAAAATATCATTTTTTTTCAATTTTTGTCTGTCTGTCTGTTTTTTCCGGGTAATCTCTTTAACGGCTGGACCAATTTCGACGGGACTTTCACTGGCAGATAGCTGATGACATAAGGAGTAACTTAGGCTACTGTTTTTAGACTAGCTTCGCCCCGCGGCGTTGCCCGCGGTTATAACGACAAACGCGGGTAACACCGCGGGTCTCAGCCAGTATTATATATATATAAAGACTTTTAAAGACTCCCGCATTAGGATTACATCCTGTGTCGCGGGGGACTTTAGAAACATACATGAAACAGACACAAAGAACACCCAGACTCAGAACAACAATTTGTGGATCACACACAGTGTCTTCCCATGTAGGGTTTGAACCCACAACACTCGGCGTAGTAGGTAGCGGCGTGGCGACCACTTAAACCACTAACGCCATCTGTGCAGTCATCTATCAAATTATATTGAAAGTTATAATACACTTAAACAGGTTTCTTTCATCTGTTCTTGAAGATTACCTGAATTGGTAGGCAAATTTTGCTTAAACGCAAACGAACCCACGTCCAAAACCTATATTTCAAACCAAATCTTCTCAGGTGCCGAGGCTTTAGCAAGAGTACCCAAAGAGTTCGTAGTCCAGAGCAACGCCGCAGCCAACCCTCCGATACTGTTGATCCAGCTGGCGCACTTCGTGAAGAAACGCCCTGAGCTCTTCGGCAACAACTCTCCACATAGGAGCACTTTAAACAGGATGTTTAGTCGACTGCAGGTAAGACCCTGTGTTGACCTCTCCAGCTCAAGAATAGCCATTTGAGCGACTGCCTCTGCCCTCGTCCTCCACAGATTATATTTTTCTTTAGTTCCTCTTTTGTATGGTAAACTAGGCAAACCAGGAGACTAGTCACCTGATGGTAAGTTATTACCGCCGGTTATGAACACGTGCAATTCAAGAATTAGAATTAGAGTCTACCTAAGAACAAAACTTAATATTAAGATATATGATGTCGGAGTATTTTTGAGTATTTTATCTGCACCTATGTCAAACGCAGCTATTGTATTATATAAATTTACTAGCGGACCCGACAGACGTTGTCCTGTCAAATTTGACACTGCGATGGTAGCGCCGTCTGTCTGATCCAATGTAAAACATTCCAAAATCAACAACTACTAATAAATTAAAAATTAATTAAAAAAACATTGTCCAGCGGACAAAATTGTGAATCTAAACCATTCCCAGATCCCCTTGAACACACACAAAAAATTTCATCAAAATCGGTCCAGTCGTTTGAGAGAAGTTCAGTGACATACACACTCACAGAAGAATTATATATATAAAGATAGATAAGTTAAATAATTCAGATAATTAGTTTTATAAGGAATTTAAGCTTGCTTGTATTATGCATAAGGTGTTTATGGGACTGACATAGTCAATTATGGCTCAAAGTCCCTCAAGCATAATTAAAGAATTAAAAAAAGAATTAGAATTGAGTTCAATTCCAATTTATCACATATATCATGGAGAGTGCTCCGAGGAATTGTTCGGACTAATACCTAAAATCTTCATCCCCATCACTTGGATAACTGCCTGCCTCGGTGGTGGGGTAACTTATGCGACTGCTGTGCTGAGGTCTCGGGTTCGATTCCCGGGTCGGACCAAATGTGTGTATAATCTGCAAAATTTTTGTTTCGGAGTTTGGGTGTTTCCTATGTACAATATGTATGTATTCACGAAAAAAAAGTAAATAAGTATTCTATTAGTTAATCTAGCTTTTATAGTACAAGCTCTGCTTAGTTTGAAACTAAATGGCGTTGGGTGTAAGATATCAGACACACTTTGCTTCGTCTGAGGTATTTCCGGTTCTGATACGACCTTCAAACCTTCAAGAAAAGAGTGGACTCCTGAGTTGCAGACCTTCGTGGGTGTTAGTCACTTTCCATCAGGTGATCCGTCTGCTCGTCTGCCCCCTCTTACATTAAAAAAAAGTTGTCGTCCTTTAAATCCCCTCCTCCAGAAACAGGTGCAGGGGGGGAGGGGGGCGTTTTTGGACTCCGGTAAGTTGTAAATCAATATGTTTTGTTATTAATACATATAGTGTATGTTCCCAGGCGTGGTACCAATGGTTCCAGACGACTCAGAAGGGAGAAGAACCCACGTCGTATCGCTGGCGAGGACGCGAGGATGACGGACTACAGCTGAACCCCAAGACTTTGAGTTCAGGACTGGATGACTATCCGAGGTAAATAAAATCGGAAGTAGGTTTTTTTGCCTAGTAGATTTATGCTTCTATCATCAACATCATCATCATCAACAGCCTATACTAGTCCACTGCTGGACACAGGCCTCTCCTTAGAAAGGAGGTTTTGGCCTACTATACCACGCTGGCCAGACGGGTTGGTATAGGGTTTGTTTCAAGTTTTCCTTCTCTTTGCAGTGCTGTTGTCCTGCTTAGTTTGCTCCCTTAGTCGGCTCTTACGACACCCACGGGATGAATTGGGGTAGTGACAATTTGTATTCTTAATCCGTCACCACACGGACCCGCTTCTCTCAGAAGGAATAAATTTACCCGTTGTTTTTTGCATTTTTCATTTGATGATTGGCTCCTGCTGATGGTAGCGTGATTTTAAATAGCCATCCTCAAAAAAGCCGTGTGGTGTCATGGGACACCCGATAGGAACGAAGTTGTGACGATCGAGTAAAACTGATTCGACACGATTTTAATTACAACGCCATCTATGAAAGCGGCTATTACCTACATATTTTTCAGTTGGTTTCTAATTAAAACAATTTATACATTGGTAAAATATCCTTCAAAAATGATTTCCTATCTATTCGATAGATGGCGCTGAATGACTGACATAAAAAGTGTCGTTACAACTTTTCGTGAGATTTTTTTCCGTCTAGCCCCCTTTCACAACGCGCGATAATTAACTTCGTTCCAATAAATGGGCTATCCAATACTAGAAGAATTTTTCGATTCAAACGAGTACTTCCTTTACACTTTTTTCTCACCAAATCTGCCCATGAAATTACCTATTTACAGTCTATTTGTCCATCCAAAGGTTGCCTGTAAGAGATTGCTTTTTAGCGATAAGGCCGCCATTTGTACATGGTCATTAACTTTGAATACTATTGTATGTATAATATCCTGAATTGGTGTACAATAAAGATTATTCTATTCTATTCCTTAGATTATCGCCTATCAGCCGATCAGCTTTATAATATTAGTACAGATTGGAGGCGCCTGTCTCTGGTTAGACTAGTAAAAGAAGACATAAATGACAGCAGCCAGTCAGAGCCTGAACTATGACATTTGATAAAATCACAATCACCTGTTATTTATCATATGATTTTAAAATCAATTCATCACACCAATGACTCATCTCACCAAAGGTCTAAATCTAATAAAAGGGTCGGTTTTTATGATTTTGAGTAGTGATTTATAACAGGTGAAGTCACAGTAACCAACACCAGTAATTTCCATGTCTAGTGACCAGACTGCTGATATAAATACTTATTTTTTTTTAATTTAAATAACAACTAGGAATAACACTAAGAATGAATCCTGTGTCACGGGGGACTTTACAAAGATACATGAAACGGACACAAAGAACACCCAGACTCAGAACAACAATTTGTGGATCACACAAAGTGTCGTCCCATGTGGGGTTTGAACCCACAACACTCAGTGTAGTAGTGAGCGGCGTGGCGACTACTTAAACCACTACGCTATCCGTTTATAATATAGTGACATTATACCTAGACACAGAAGTGATAGTGCTCATCGCACAATAATTTGTCCTGGGTAGGCATCAAACCCACGACCTCCGGGATAGCAGTCAGGGTCCCTATCCACTGGTCCAACAGGCCAGTCAGAAAAAGATATGTAAAAATGATTATACTATTTAATTCTGTCCTTGTTTCAGGGCATCTCATCCATCAGATATTGAGCGTCACGTGGACCTGAGGTGCTGGATGTACGCGGCCGCAGACGCCATGATGACCATCGCGGATGTACTGCAGAGAGATAGTAGCAAGTATGACATTCTTCTCTCTTGTGTTCTCCTTCTTTGTCTCTTCTCCCACGCTCCTTCTCCAAAAATCGTTTAATGTTTAAAATATCGCAGAAATTATCTGCTAATTGCCGAATCTCTGTCATTCCTCTTTTGTCCCTCTGTAATCTTTTCTCTTTACCTCTTTACTACCGGGACTTACCGAAGAGAACTTCACAAATAATTAGTGGTAAAGCAAGACTGGCCCTGGCCGTGGGAGAGCCATGCTTCAGCACAAGGCATAAATAGACCCGACTCGACCGGATTAATACCACAGCCTCACAGAAAACCGGTGTTGAGCAGTTCTTTCGTTGCATTTAACCAATTGAGTTAGACTTTCTCTAATTCCTGAGGGGGGGGGGGGGGGGAAATTTATAGGGTGGCACTTTCGCTTTTGAGTTGCAGGCGTCTATAAACAGATGTAGTCATTTACCATTTGCAAAATGAAAATGCAGTACTGAGCATTTTATCAAAAAAAGGCAATAAAGTAAAGAAAAAAATAGGGTATTAGAAAGCTCGATTTTTTACTATTTTTAGCTTACACTTTAAAAATGATATAACAGAGATTTCTTGATTAGATATCACGAAATATGTTTATCGCGTTTATCTCCAAACCGTCATTCTGCAAGTACTGCGTTTGCAATAAGGAGGGCAGATTAGGTGACGAGTCTTCTCGTTTGTTCCTAATCACATCAACAGCCTTTACTAGTCCACTGCTGGACATAGGCCTCTTCTTAGAAAGGAGGTTTTGGCCTACTATACCACGCTGGCCAAACAGGTTGGTATAGGGTTTGTGTCCTTCTCTTGCTGTTGTCCTGAGTAGTTTGTTCCCTTAGGCGCCTTTTACGACACCCACGGGATGAATAGGGGTTGTGACACTCCGTATTCTTAATCCGTCACCACACGGAAAGTATTCTCTCCTTATACCATAAAAAAACTTAAACTACTAAGTTTATGATAACAAACAAGAAAACAAACAGACACCTAATATCATACGTATGTTTTAGGTTTGAAACGACCCGCGACCAACTCGGCGATGAGGAGTTATTGAATGAACTGCATTGGTCCCCCCACACACAGACTTATGCAGATTATGGTACGTACATATATTAGATAAAATATTATGAAAAGATAGCTTTAGGGAGAACTAGTATTACCTACCCTCCCTAGGACCCTGATTAATGTGAGACATCATCATCAACATCAACAGCCTTCACTAGTCCACAGCTGGACTTAGGCCTCTCCTTAGAAAGGAGGTTTTGACCTTCTATACCACGCTGGCCAGACGGGTTGGTATAGGGTTTGTATCAAGTTTGGCCAGCCGCGAGGGGGCGGCGTCCGCGTGTGCCGGACGTCGCCTAAAGAGAGGAAAATTTTGAGACGCAACAGGAGCGGGCCGGCGCTAGGAGGGGTCCGGATGTCTTAACAACAGCTGTTCCCGGATCCCTCCTGTTACAGGCGCAGAGTGGCACACCGTGTGGTTTTAGTCGGTCCGAGTCCGACACACCACCCCGCCGCAAACCCCGGAGGGGTGACGGTCCGAGGGGATTTCCACACGTTAAAAAAAAAAAAAGGTTTGTGTCAAGTTTTCCTTCTCTTCCTTCTCTCTGCAGTGCTGTTGTCCTACATAGTTTGTTCCCTTAGTCGGCTCTTACGACACCCACGGGATGAATAGGGGTGGTGACACTCTGTGTTCTTAATCCGTCACCACACGGACTATGATGTGAGACATATCTAGTTGAATTCCCCTAGAGATCCTCGAGGGTTCTTTCAAATCAAGATAAATAGTTTTGTAATGAGCACGGTCATTTCTTTTCTGATAATGTAGTTTTCCATTGGTGAAAGAATTTCTAAAATCGGTTTAGTGGTTTAGGCGTGAAAGCGTAACAAACAAATAAAATCACATTCAAATTATTTATTTTGCAGAAAACAGTTTTACAATGGTGTTTAACATGTTCAAATTTATAATAAAGCTATTTAAGAGAAGAATTTAAAGTATTTATGTTTATCAGTAGTCTAGTTACTAGGTATGGGATAAAATCGAAAACCACCTCTGATTAATCATATTATTGAAAAAAAAAATGAAAATATATTTATTTAGTGACATAAAATTAGTGTAGCAGATCTTATCAGATAAATATTAAACGCGGTCCCCACACTAGGCAAGCCTGTATCGTGGGGTCCCAGCCAAACGTATTTACATTAAGGTATAGAGCTCCTGCACTTCACAATATCAAACATATTAGAAAGACAGAAAAAAATATAAAATCATTTCAAACACACCATCGACTCACCTACAACATCACTGCGACTAATTAGCGGCGGTAGCCTAGTGGTTAAGACATTGGACTTGCGATCAAAAGGTCGTGGGTTCGAATCCTGACCGGTACACTACCGACGTGAACCCACTCCTAACACAAGCAATTTAGGTTAGCGGGAGGGGTTAACGGGAATACTAGTAAATTCGATTGCTAGTAAACCTTTAAAAAATCGCCGATATCGATAAAAAGCAAAGGTCGGTTTGATTGATTTTGATGATATTAATGATCAAATATAAACTGTGATTTATTACATGTAAAATCACAGTGGCTACCAATCATTTAACCAAATGAATATGATTTAAAATTAGCAATAATTTCCATGTCTGCTAGTTACCATAGTACAGGTGCTTAGTTTGGGATCAGACGGTACTGTGAGATGTCTCAAGTTATTGTTATTACGTTAAAACTAAAAACCAGGTTGAATCAGCTTTTGTGCTGAAGCATAACCAAAGCTACCATCACCATTATGATGGTGTTGAGTTGAGCAGTTATTAAACACTAGTGTCGGGCAGGACTCCACACGGATGGCGTGCGATTGGTGCGAGCGCCTGCTAAGAACGCTGCTGAAAGCGCTCGTGTGGTGCGGAGCGTCACTGCACCCCCTCAGCCAAGGCTGGTCACCTCCGCCTTCGGTAAGTCTTTCCCTCCTGCAGGTACAGCCAGGAACTTCGTAGAATCTGAGCGAACAGCACAGGGCTCTTCTTATGTACTCAAGTTTAGCTTGAGAAAGGTGTTCAGGCAGCAACCCAAAGCACATCATCTAAAAGAAATAAATTAGTTTTTTTAAACTCATTAAGAAGAAGATGGATTTGCGCAAGATGGCTGGCAGGAGCTGGATGCGAGAAGCCCAAAATCGATGTAAGTGGCGTGCAATTGGAGAGGCCTATGTCCAGCAGTGGACTGCGATAGGCTAATGATGATGATGATGATGAAGAAGAAGAAGAAGAAGTACGTTTCCCTGTTCTTCTAAATAGAATCTACGTATTGGAACTGGTATTGGAGCTTCACGACTAACTTAAACTGGCAAGTCAATTCTCGTAATTACAATTCGTTTAAAACGTTATTCCGATCTACTCTCGATGCATCATCATCATCATCATCAACAGCCTTTAATAGTCCACTGCTGGACATAGGCCTCTCCTTAGAAAAGAGGTTTTGGCCCTACTATAACACGCAGGTCAGACGGGTTCGTATCGGGTTTGTGTCTAGTGTTCCTTCTCTTTGCAGTGCTATTGTCCTGCGTATTTTGCTCCCTTAGTCGACTCTTACGACACCCACGGGTTGAATAGGGGTGGATTTTCTTAATCCGTCACCACACGGACTAGCACGGATCTCAAATGTCAATAAAAGGCATTCTCCGTACAACCGTTTATCAATTATTTTACCCCCGTAAGGGTTAAACTTCCAAAAAATCTTTAGTAGTGGGTGCTTACAAAATAATAAGCATCACCTGCCAAAGTTTCAAGTTTGTAGCCCCAGTGTTGATGATGATCATGGATGTGTCTCCACGGACCGTAATGTGCGTTCGAGATGTCGATGTTCAGTCAGTCAGTCAGTTGTGGATGACACATTGAATTAAGAGTTCAGTACAGTACTGTATGTTCTATTTACAGGGTACATCTCGTTATTCCCGATGCTAATGAAAGTACTGAAGCCGAACAGCGACAAACTCGGCAAGATATTGGAAGATCTGGATAAACCTGACCTCCTGTGGTCGCCGTATGGCCTTCGGTAAGCATTTTGTATAGCTAGCAGTAGTAACATTAAGACCGACCTGAAAACGCTAATGACTTGTGGTGGACCGGGTGTCATGCCCCTCCAACACAAAGGGAGGATCCTCCGACCAGGCGAGGTGATCATGCCTGGCGGGCCGCGGCCCAACGGTTGATGTTGGGAAGTTCTATACGTGTTAATCTTCGTGAGAACTTTTCATATCGCGATACAAAATTAGCTGTTACTCCGTAGTTCAGTTGGTCTACGTTAGATGGCGCTGTAGTATGTTTCTGTTTCACTGTATGTGGAAGTCAACACTTTAATTGACTGACTGACTAACTGTATGAATGATGGAATTATTTAATTATTGGTTGACTGATACTCAGCCCACCTGAAACCTTTTCCTGATCTGCTCTACTTGAAATAATTTATGACATATTTAATCTACGAGATCTTTGGTTACTGGTGGCTGTCTGACTCACTGACTGACTAGATAGTTCGTTCACTTTAATGGGTGACTGACTGTTAGACTATGAGAGTGAATGAATGAATGAATAATTCTTCAGACGTGAGAAAAAAACCGGTCAGGTACTAGTCTAACTCGTGCGCCGAGGGTTCCGTACCCCCTCAGATTTTAAGTAGATTTTCGCGAACATTTGTAATTAACAAAATTTATCTTAATTTTCAACTTTTTTTTTGTTTTTTGGAATTATTCCTTTATTTGTGCTGTTCTTTTTGCCAAATTTCGTGATTCTAGGTCAACGGGAACTACCATATAGGTTTCGACCCAAAACCTATAGGGTACTGCCGGTTGACCTAGAACTGTCAATTTTGGTTAAAAGCAAGGTCTTACAGTACAAGTAAAGAGAAAATTCTGAAAAAAAAACCTTTTGAGGTACGTAACCCTAATAAACCATTTCCTTCCAGATCCCTCTCAAAATCTTCCCCCCTATTCATGAAGAGGAACACAGAGCATGACCCCCCATACTGGCGAGGCCAGGTGTGGATCAACATAAACTATCTGGCGTTGTCAGCGCTCAAGCACTACAGCGGCCTCGATGGACCTCACGCCGGGAGGGCCAGGGACCTCTACTCGAGGCTCCGGGATAATATCGTCCGTGAGTATCTTACTTCACTCACATAACTTGGACTGCACGGATGGCTAAGTGGTTTAAGCGGTCGCCACGCCGTTTCCTACTACGCCGAGTGTAGTGGGTTCAAACCCCACATGGGACGACACTTTGTGTGATCCACAAATTGTTGTTCTGAGCCTGGGTGTTCTTTGTGTCCGTTTCATGTATGTTTGTAAAGTCCCCCGCGACACAGGATATATTCCTAATGCTTTTTAGGGCTCCAACGACCCGTAACGATTGCCACAGATGTTCTCCGAGGCACGGAGGGGTCTCAATGTGTTAAGAATGGTCACCCATCCATAGACTGACCTGGCTAGTATTGCTTAACTTTGCAATGTGTTACCACTTAGCCACTAGCCACAAGGCTGAACGGTATTGGGGTGAAATTTCACACAGAGCTAAATCATAGTCTTGAATGGAACATAAGCTATTTTCAGTATTTAGTCAATTTGGCGACCGGATGGCGTAGTGGTTTGTGTAACGGACTGCTATTCCAAAGGTCGCGGGTTCGATTCCCGCTCAAGTCAAACATTTGTGTGCATGAACATTTGATGTTTGATTTGGTCTGGGTGTTTATATGTATGATATGTATGTATTTACAAAAAAAAAAAGTATATATGTATTTATATCAGTTGTCTAGTACCCATAGTACAAGCTCTGCTTAGTTTGGGACTAGATGGCGTTGTGTGAATGTGGTACAATATTATTATATTATTATTATTATAATTTTAGTATTTTTCAATGTTTTCTTTTTGTTTTTCAGGTAATATCTTGAAGGAATACAAACGCACCGGGTACCTGTGGGAGCAGTACTCGAGCGAGGATGGCAAAGGTTCCGGCTGCAAACCGTTCAGTGGGTGGACTGGACTGGTAGTGCTCATCATGGCTGATGAATATTAAGTTTATCTACCACTAAATACGCAAAATTTGTCTTATTTACAAACATGTGAACAATATCAACAATGTGACTATTTTTTTGGGGATTCTGATGTTAAGCGGTTACCGACGCATATAGATCCTTTTATTAGCTTCATTTATTTGAAATTAATTTTAACCCACTTATAAAGTGTCGTATCAAAATGTATGTGTATGTAGTTTGGATGAAAATGTTATGATTTGACATCTTGGAGTTGATCTGATGGTAGAACAAGGAGGTTTTGGCCTACTATACCACGCTGGCCAGACGGGTTGGTATAGGGTTTGTGTCAAGTTTTCCTTTTCTCTGCAGTGCTGTTGTCCTGTTTAGTTTGCTCTCTTAGTCGGCTCTTACGACACCCACGGGATGGATAGGGGTGGTGACACTCCGTATTCTTAATCCGTCACCACATGGATAAGTAATCTGATCGAGTTTGGCATCAAACGTTTCGTTTTGACGATTCCATCAGGTTGGATTTAGCACCGATGGTCTGATGATGGAGGAGGTGGGACTCGGGTTTGCTTCAGAACTCTTCAAGCCTTATAGAACAGTTGGTTATAATCCTCTACGATTTTTAGCTTCTGGATGTCTTAACAAAAGCTTCTCTCAGATCCCTGCTGTTTTAAACACAGTATGGCACACCGTATGGTCCGTGTGGTGACGGATTAAGAATACGGAGTGTCACCACCCCTATCCATCCCGTGGGTGTCGTAAGAGCCGACTAAGGGAGCAAACTACGCAGGACAACAGCACTGCAAAGAGAAGGAAAACTTGAAACAAACCCAATACCAACCCGTCTGGCCAGCGTGGTATAGTAGGCCCAAACCTCCTTTCTAAGGAGAGGCCTATGTCCAGCAGTGGACTGTTAAAGGCTGTTGTTGTTGTTGTTGTTTGTTGTATGGCACACCGTGTCGTTTTATCTCATTAGATTCCAGGTCACCGTCCCTCTGAAAACCTTGATTTAGTTTCTATTTGCACAAAAAAGGGTTCTGAACTTGCAATCGGTACCATTAATGCAATGTAATAAGTGTGAATAGGCCCAGGTTACCGCTTACCGTTACGCTGATTGCCAACCATTAGCGATGTGTCTAGTCTAATTTGAAGGGAAGTGGGGGGAAGGGAGATAGTATTTCTTCTATGCGTTTTTGGCGGATATGACGAAATAGTGAATTTGACTGTTTACCTAATTGTCGCGGGGGACTTTACAAACATACATGAAACAGACACAAAGAACGCCCAGACTCAGAACAACAATTTGTGGATCACACAAAGTGTCGTCCCATGTGGGGATCGAACCCATAACACTCAGCGTAGTAGTGAGCGGCGTGGCAACCGCTTAAACCACTACGCCATCTATGCAGTCAATTGTGAAGTTATTAATCACAATTTTTTAATTTAATAATTATTGCAATCTATTGTCTCCCGTATTGCAAAGCATTAGTGCTGAAAATAGATTGCACATAATATCTAGGTAAAAATTTAAGGTTAAGGCATTGCCGTGTAAGCTATATTGCACTTTGTAAAGTAGTACAGAGAGTTGCTATTCCTTTGTTCTTTAATATCTAAATTGGAACTACCGTTCAGTAGTTGGAAGTATCTGCTCAAGTTTAGAATGTAAAAAGAATTAGTGTTACTATAGAATAAATTAGTAAACTAAAAAAGCTTGATCCGACTGAACTGTTCTAAACCCATTAGTCAGATAAATCTATCAATAATAACTGCGTTAAACAAAAAAACAAAATCAATATGTACTAAACTTTTTTAATTACAAATAAATAAAAAATTACTGCGCTGTCAAAAAAAATTTTTCTCTTTACGTTTCGTAATGGCGCCATTCTCTTTTTTTTAAATATTGAAAGTAAATTCTAGTGGTAGATGGCAAGAAAAACTGACACCGCTAGGAAAGAGTAAGAGGCGTGAGTGACTCTCGGATATAGAAACTAATTACCAGAATGTTTTCCTGCATCTACTGCAGTGCATCTTAAGAACTGGAGAATGTTACCCTATAAATAAACAATCTGGTAGTTTTCAAATCCTCTATAGGTTGAACACAGTGTAAGAATCCTCTAACTAGGCTGGGTATACCATTAAAAGTACTTAGATATATATACCCCGATAATTCTTATTACGAGATTTAGAATCGCTACTTACTGTGTAATTCCATTTATCTTCGCTAGATGGCGCTGTGTTATGTGATCTGATTTTGGCAGGCAGGAAGTTATATTAGTAAAAAAGTTATAGTTGTACGCGCCTGACAGGGAGCCTTTAGCAGGGTGTGAAGCGACCTGACGCATCGGTGTTAATACCAATCACTAAAATATTTATTTCAGTCGTTCTTGTACAGAATGTTAACAAGGGTTCACTTCGAATGCCCTCTGTATAAAAGTAGTAAATTATTAGTGGGTTGAGTATTTCTGTACCAGCTGAAGGTCTGGAGATACTAGAGTGGGCATTTCATCTAAAAATGATAGTTTTAAACTTTATTTTCGGTGTATTATCAGCTGTCTGGTTACCATGGTACTATGCTTTGCCTAGTTTGACATCAGAGTGTGTAAGATGTGGTTTCATTCAGGTTTAGTACCTAAAGTCGTCGAGTTAAATAGTGAAAAAGTAGGATAGTCGATTTTATAGCACAAATTCGCATAAAAACAATACATAGATTTCTAGAAATCTAAAAAATAATGTCTTCCTTTAAAACATCAGAAGTTGATGACACATTAATGATTTATTTAAGAAAAGTAGTTTGTTGAGCACAGGGCAATATGTTTAGGTTAGTGTTGCTATATTAAAATAAATAAGATTTTTTTTTTTTTAATTATAATTTTTTCCCTCCTAGTACATTTGAGAAACATCATGGTCCTTCGAGCCAGTTCTTTTTATTGCTATATAAAAATATAGTTTTAAGTTATTCTAGTTTATAGTATATTATTAATTGTTACAACAATTTGCATTTAAAATCCCAATGAGCCGCAAAGAATACGTAAGACCATGGTAATTTAATTTTGTTTCTAGTTTTGTAACCTTTAAGACATCTTAAATTATATTATTTGTGATCATGACACGACATGTAATGGTACGTTTACACGCTCTTGGCAAGTCTCGGTAAGTGGCAAAACCACACATTGGCGCGTTTGCTTTGGCTTGTGTGAGTTTGTCGAAGATAAGTGTGTCGGTTTTTGAAAATAGATCAAAGGATTCTTGTAGCATGCGCTTGCGACGTATATACATGTTGGCAGGTGTTTGGTGTTGCTGTTTATATTTTAAATAAAAAATTGTCCAGCCAAACGCAATAGCCGGGACAATTTGAACGTTCACGTCTGCTATGTTTGCCCGTCCGGAATACACTAACACACTCGCAAGCGTGTAAATTCCATCCAAGCGTTTGTGGACGTTTGCCAAGCCTCGGCAAGGGTGTATATTAGGTATAATGTGTAGATTTGTTTGAGGGTTGTAATATATTGGGATCAGAAGGAGATTTCTTTTGCATATTTTTTTCTGTAACTTGGTTTCCACGAGTACCATCGACACATGAGGGCCATGACCTTGGTCGATGGTTAACTTGATATCTATGGCTTTTCCAAACAGTTTTAATGACTTGTCAACTCGATTATACGGATGTTTATCTGCAAGAGTGTGGTGGATCTCTAGACCCATAAATATTGGTATATCTATAGTTAAATTATGGGCCAATAAAGGTGTACATAATGCATGATGATATGGGTAATTGTAATGACAATTTGTAAGCCATCTTTTATATAAATGTCCAAAGGATAATTAAAAGGAATCATTTTTTTTAAGTCAATATTCTTTGATAATTTGCAATGAAAACACGATTTTGTGATGAATTCTGATGATTTATATATTTTTGTTTAAATAGTTGTACAGTCTTGTAAATAAACATTATTGTTAAATAAATTAATTGTAAGGTAGTAATAGTTTTATTAATTAATTCAAATTGAAGGTAGTTGAATGATGATTTAGCTGCTCTTTTACACGCTTTATATTAGCTTCACTTGTATGTTTGTTTGTAACCTTTGGGCGTGATTTTGACTGACTTTATACGGTCAGAATTCGTTCAAACTTTGTAGATATATCGAGGACCGATAACAATACACTAATTTAAAAAAAAAAATAGTTTAAAAAAACTAAAAACCAAACTAAAAAATAGAAAATAAATTTGAAAAAAAGACGTGTGGTGCTTTTTACTATTGACAACAGGCACCCAACGCTTTTTCAAATTTACTGAGAGGAAACTCAAGACATGATTAGATGGGTCCAGCTGAAAAACTAGACTGAGTCCACGTCCTATCGCGGTGGGTATATATGTAAGCCGGTCTACAGAAAGGTTCATATATACCACCGCCTCCGGTTTGTGAAGAAAGTTCCAGAACATTTGTGTATTTCCCCGAAAAATCTTTATCCCACCGACACGATGCTGGAAAATTCTAGAACATAGTGAGACATTCTGAAAATTTTGGTATTTTTCTGAAAATTAACAATTACATGATAGGAAAATAAAAAAAATGTTATAAGAATCTATATATACATATATAAGAGATTTCCACGTATATAGTCACTCATCACGATATCTCTGGAACCATTAGAGATAAAGACTTGAAATTTGGTAGGAATATTCTTTTCACCGAGTAGAGGTCAGCTAAGAACGGATTTTAAGAAATAACGTTTGCAGGGTCAGCTAGTCTTAAATAAAACACATTGAATTTTTTTTAAATGTATTATTTATTACAAAAATCATAATATTTACAGTATGAACGATTAAATACAACTTTTATATAAAATATGCGAATGCATTTAATTGCACAATTCCACCATTTGAACGCCGCTGGGGTCACCGGCGACCCCCGACAAGGGCAAATATCTTTGCTCTGGCGTTCAAAGATTAATATTAGGTTTAGTAGGTCTCCCTTAAATATATAAATAAATTGGACTTAAAAATACGATATGATACCTTATTTCTGACCACACGGTAATGGAAGTGTTTTAATTTATTTGGTTCTATTAATTTAGTACCACATTTAAAATTCCATGACAAGAACATTAAATTAATTGTTTTTAAAACCATAGACTATAGGAAGTATAGAAAGCTTAGGATACCAGTATACTACTGGTATCCTAAGCTTTCTATACTAAGTTACCATACATTATATTTAAATTTTAACTAAATTGCTGTCATTTTCGCTTCTAGAAGATTTCAGAGCTTATAGTATAAAGCTATAAATGGATACGGTAATAACAATTTTGCTGCTCCCATCCAAAGGAGAGAGTCGGAGTGAGTCCATCGACTCTGAAGGTACTCCCACTCTCCTTCAGTGCAGAGTGGAGAGGGAGAAAAGACTGTTTCATATGGGTTAGTAAATAATACTTCTTTCTAGAAACGAATAAAATGGCAAATTGATTCTGAATTTAACATGGCAACCCTACTTGTTTATGGTTGGAGAAAATGTCACGAGATCCTTTTAATGTAAATAATGTTAAATTTTCTTTATGAAATATTGATTCAATTATATATTTAATAGCTCTCCGACACTTTTACGTTAGACCTGAGGATTTAAATAAAAGAAATAAACGAACAGACATACCAAATGTTTACGTGAGCTCAGTGTATTAAATCACACTTTTGCTGGCAATTGGGAGGGAGGATCAAGAATACAACTCACAAAATATTTAAACAGCCCCTATGCCAGAGACAGCTTTATTTCTTAGCTCATTTCATATCTAGATGGAGTGTCGCACTGTAAAACAACTCTAAAACAAGTGTCCAACTTAATTATGCTAGTGTGCGTGCAATTCGAGTGTTTACATACACAGAGACCCAGCTCCTGCGTAAATAAATTTAGTGGCCAACAGTTGGACTCTATTTTTTTTTTTCACTTTTTTATAGTTTTGACAATCTATCTAGACATATGATCTAAGTTTTATTTTTATAAAGTAATTCTTCTTCCACAATCATGAGAGAGCAAATTTTTATACGAATGGCACTCGTTTGGCACCATTTCAATAAAACTTACTTGATTTAAACTTAAATAATAATCTTAAACAATAATTATTGCACTTATTTAGTTATTTCATACGTTAAATACCCTTTCTATTCAAAAGAGAATGCACAAAAGAGTATTAAGTATTTTGGTGAGTAATTTGTATTAGTCGAAGGAGAGAGAATTATACCTGCGTATGGAGAAGAGAGAGAGAGAGAGAAAGAGAAGATTCATCTTGAAATCTAAAGTCGCAGTGAGATTGTGGGGAGTTCAACAGAAAATACATATTTGACAAATATGAAAAAATGCACAATTAAAACCTTAGATCATTTGTATGTCTATATTTGGAGTATCACACTACTTAACCACTTAAAAATATCCGAATATATTTACTTGAAGTTCTACATTCGTTAAACGTTGATATCGGCAAAGAACTTAGTGGCCAACAGTTGGACGCTATTTTTGTAGACGTCGCTTTAATAGTCTATGCATATTAATGATCTAAGATTGAAAAGTAATATGTTTATTTGTTTATTCTAATACAAATAAAATAATAAAAATTGTAAGCTAATGTTGTGTCTACCCACATAATAAACTGGTATAGCTCAACCAATTGGTATTTAATTAGAGTTACTCAAACTATATACAAACATATATAGGTTGCATTCAATTAAATCCATTGGTTTGTTACCAGTTTAAAATATTAAAATATATCTGTGGGAGCACACTCGGCACCAATAGGCGGGCTCAACCGGAGTGAGATCACGGCTTTAGAGAAAAACGGTGTTAAGTAATAATTAATTATAAAATAGTTGGGGAGGGGGGGGGGGGGGGGGGGGGGGGGGGGGGGGGGGGGGGGGCTGGAGTGTCCATATCCGGCGGTAGGCACTGGCCATCAGGTGACCTGTATGCTCGTTAAACATAAAACATCGTCTACATAACGGTCAAAAACTTCAAAAGTAAGTTGGATGCAATTTCGGTTACATGATTAATTTACGGATCCAAATTTAAATTTCATACGTTAGTAAAGATTTTACTATAGACAAGTTGGTTTTAGAAGACCATAGACAACATAGATACAGTATATGTCAACAGGTCGTCTAACTGAAAAAAACTAAAATTGCCATTCTGAATCGCTGCCAGACAACCGATTAAGATAATACAAAAGTATTTATGAAGAAAACGTCACTTTATTTATGGCCTATTGTAAAAGTGAATAAACGTAAACTTAGTCCGACTTACTTCTCTCTCCCTCATATATTTTATCTCTCTCTTTTATTGTCTGTGGTAACGAAACTTAACCTCGTGGCCCATAGACATTATTCCGACTCCAAACGACTAAAATAAATAAGGAATATATAATAATTAATTTACTTATCATTTTATATGCATCTCCTCTAATTGTTTAATTCTGACAGGCACTTGTACAGCGGGTAGGTCAACACTTTTGGCGCGACGTCGTCCGTTTTGTATGTCGATGGCGCTTTGCCGCGCTTGCGGGGGGATCGGCGTCAGTTCCGGTAATGTTGGCCGTTTCCGGGCCAGCTCGGGGGTGCGGAGGGTCCCACCTGGAATATAGATGACGAGGGTTTCTAAATAAGTGATGATATTTAAAATATGCAAAAATAATAGTGTTGTTACGACAATAATTATTTTCACCAGTCATGTTTTTTTTTAAATGGCAATTCAAATTCGTAAATAATTATGTAATTTTAAAAGAAAAAAATATATTGAATGAGTATATTAATTTTAAAACTTAATTTGTGTTTTTTCGGGATACAATTACTTACTCAAAAGTGCGTTCATATTTGGATTAGCTACCATAAGAAAATTGTCCCCCTATGTCAAATATGTGTAAGTGATTGTGAGATATTTGACGTATCAGACATCAATTGTCCCCCCAAATCAAATAAAATTATAGAGCCAAGTGTCAATAAATATTAATTTATATACAAAATATTTCTATATACAACATTAAACAATGAATAAGAAGGAATAGTCATGTGTTTACATAACACCTTAGATTGTAGGAAAAAAATTAATCAAAGCTTTGTCTACAGTTAATTTGGAAAATAATACAAATAATGACACAACATTGAAAAATGGAATTAATAAAACATATATAGCGAAGCTTGATTAATACTATTTGTTATATAATCGGTCTCCTTTACCTCCAGAAACCCATAAATTATTGAAGCGATATATACAATGCCAACTTTCTCCCCAATTATATCGTAAGGTGTATATTAAAGTCGCTTAAACTATTAAATGACTCAGTGATCATTTGATTTCTTTCCACATAAATTGGCAGCTCTAGTATTGATACTTGGTCGATACTAGATGGCGCTGTCCTCCACATTCCATACAATCGAACCATTTAATCCTATGGCGCAAAAATATAATATTATTATACTTTCCCAGACATCAACATATAATCCTTCTGAACGAAGACTTGAACCGACTTCAAATAATACTAACACAGAGCACTAAAAACCTAGCAGCAATCGCGGTTGTTTTTCTGTCATTTTTTTAAGAGTTCCGTTGTCTGTCTCCGAAATTCATCATCAGATCTATAAATGGGACCATTTCGGAATAAACCCCTTTCGAACATAAAAAAAAGAATTTTGCAAATTCGTCTATATTATGACGGAGTTATGCCCGATGAACATACATTAAAAAACAAAGACCCGAATTGATAACCTTCTCCTTTTCGAAGCCTTTCAAAAATAGTATTTAAAGCAATTGATTGACACACTATACTCTATTTATTACATACAGTGTGGTAGGCAGAGGTGTACGTAGGCCCACATTTATACGAATATAATTTTAGCTCCACTTACATAATAGAGGGCACGCCTATTGCCGTCAACCGGGCACATTTGGCATAGGTTGAGGAAATTATATACAAAGGAAAGGAAAGGCAGGCAAGAAGGACTGGTAATGATAGGACTGGGGAGTGTTAGCAGTAGCTCGAATCTTTTGATCAACAGACCTCTTTTTTTTTTGTTAACGGGATGGAAGATCCTCATGGATGTCCTATCCCCGTGGGGGAGTGCGAAGGGGTTGGTGGGAACATCGGTGTTCCTCTTCTTGCCAATGGCCATGGGAGCGAGAATCGCAATAGCATTCTTCCGCCACCCCTGACACGAATTGACCCGTTGAACGAAGACGGGTCTCGTCGGACCAGACTTTATATATTATTACAATATTAGTAAGAGATAGCACACACAAGAAATTCCCACAACATTTAGTATTTTATTTACCTGAATTACTGACAGAATAATCTCCACGCGACAAATATGAAGCCGCGGGTATTTATATAAAAGATACTAAAAACAATAAAATGTGGATATCATGTCACTATGGATGTGCTCTCGCAAAACGAAATTTCAATCGTATTTTTATTACGTTTTATATTATTTTTAAACTCTATTAATAAACTGGTTAGAATACAACGCTGAGATAGTCATCATCGTCAACAGGCCTTTAATAGTCCACTGTTGGACATAGGTCTCTCCTTGGAAAGGAGGCGTACCTTTAAGGAGGATCAACCCGTCTAGCCAGCGTGGTATACTATACCACGCTGGCTAGACGGGTTGGTATAGGGTTTGTGTCAAGTTTTCCTTCTCTTTGCAGTGCTGTTGTTCTGCGTAGTTTGTTCCCTTAGTCGGCTCTTTCGGCTTCGGCTTGTATTCTTAATCCGTCACCACACGGACGACCAAAGTACCACGTGGTGAGTTTTAATGTAATATCGAAATTCATAAGCCCGTAGGGTAGATCGAAATTCCGTTTCAAATGAGAGCCTTTCAAACAATGGAGATGCTATTGGTGTGTAATATTTATTTTTGCCAATTACAATGTTTTATCAAAATGCAGGGACTTTTAAATTGTATAGATGTACAGTTATTGAATTAACCAGTCGAGATCTAATATAAAAAGAGGAACATTTCTTAAATTCTAATAATCACAATATAATAATATATTTTTTCTCCTTAATTAAAATATTTAAACTTTTCGTCTAAATCCTATGTAGTCAAGTCCAGAATTTACCTCATTCCAATTTTAGAAAACTTTTTATTATATTTCATCATTATCATCATCATCATCATCATCATCATCATCATCATCATCAACAGCCTTTAACAGTCCACTGCTGGACATAGGCCTCTCATTAGAAAGGAGGTTTTTGCCTACTATTCTATATATTATATTTATAGATACTTTCATTCGTGTGGCAGTGACGCGGTGCTCGGACGACGACTGCCATACGAATGAAAGTTGTATATTTACAAGCCCACGCACACATAGGGCCGCGCGCACAACTGAGTTGAACTATCTATACAAACTTTTTATTTTAATAGGCAAATACCGAAAATGTTTTTCTTTTTTTAGTTATAGTAAGAAATTCACAAATTTATAAATAAACACGATAATACTCAACACATTTAACGAATGCCCCCGGTCAAAAATTTGAGAAGGGGGGCGTTTTATTTTTAAGTTCATGTACTAAATCAGTTAGTAGTACTGGTAGGCCAAAACCCCCTTTCTAAGTAGAGGCCTATGTCCAGCAGTGGACTGGTTAAAGGCTGTTGATGTGTTGATGTGACTTTATCAATGAGTCTCTTCACACCAATAGCAGCTCTTGACCGCAATGTTCCAACAGATGTCATGTTAGTCCAGCACACATAGCGACAAGACAGTGCTCACCTATTTACAGCGTCACATACCCTTGCGGCGCGGTGGTTCGGAAGCTGTGATTTCATCTGGCACGATCATCTCACAACCGTCTGCCCGTGTACGTGCTCCTAACTTTGGTGTACTGTGCAGAAAAGTGCAATTGTTTTTAAAGCTTTTGGTGTAGCTGAGAAGAAGGATTTTAAGTTTAAGCATTTAAAAATAGAATACTAAATAAATTTGTGTAATGTCCCCCCAACACAAAAAGATGATTCTCTGAGCAGGGATGGTGTAATAAGCGAGAAAACTCGTAATGCGCGCTGCAGGATCGACAGTTCTTACGTAGTACTTCATATCTTCGTTAGATGGCGCTGAAATATGTTTAGACTGTATGTGGATTCGCCACACTCAGATATACGGAGTCAGAACTCTTTCATTATACATAAGTAATCATATTCTGCGACTTATTTACAACAGAGGGCTTCTTAGATTAAAACTATATTTATATTAAACGTATATTACAACATGTCAGTTTTACGGCATATGGAGAAAACAAGCAGACGTGACACCTGATGGTAAGTCAGTGCCACCGCCCATGGATACCTGCAACTCAAGAATCGTAAGTGCTTTGGCTTTTCAGTCCTCCCCCCTAAAATCAGGAAGAGAGAAGGGTTTGGGCTCCTGTAACCTCACTCGCTCGGTAAAAAAAAGGATTGCTTAGGTAACGTTGTTCAGGCCGATGCTCTTTCTCTGTCTGTGCTCAAATCCTTTCTAGATTAGTATAAAATAACTATTTTAACTATTTACTCACTTTTGCTCAAAAAGTATCTTGGTAAGTCTGGCAACTTCTCCTCTGAGCTGATGAAGCTCCTTCTCTCTGCCTTTGGCTTCCTGTTCAGCAGCCCTTTCTCTGGCAGCGAGACGATTGCGCATATCATCGAAACTAACAAAGAAAACATTTGGTTTGCATTACATTTTAAATGTGAAGGAATATGAAGTCCTTTCCCCACTTCTATCTTTATGCGGTCGATTTACGCGTTGTTAACAAGAAGTCAGTGTACATTGCTCGTTTAGTAATAATTTTATTAATATTAATAGTATAATAATAATGTATAGTATGGTATAAATAAATAAAATAAAAATAAATAAATAATAGCTACAGAACACGCGTTGTAGTAATTGTCTGTCTTTTAAATTAAATGTATAACGGAATTAAAACTTTTACACAGATGGTTTTTTTTTTTATGGGGCTAATCCCACACACACGCCCACCACTGTAACTCCTGTACACCAGGATCCACAGCAGTGACCCACAAACACACCGAGTTATGACACTCGGGAAGTCCCAGGAAGAATTTAAACTGTCTTGGAACCCGCAACGAAATTAATCAGAAGAAAATTGGAGGAGTTCTAAATACAGTAAATCCACACAGATAGTTTGCGACTCTCAAAGACAGAACAATTTATTGCGTTCTCTTACATTTTCTGAAGTCAGTTGAACATTTGTCAATAATAATAATAAATTCCTACAGCAGTTTCTGACGTAATTACAAACTGAATAAAATTCATGGCATTATCAATATGTAATTCAAACTGTCTGCAAATAATTTCACAAGATAAATGTACTCACAGCTTCCTCAAACAGGCGCATTTCCTCGTCAGATGTTCTACCTGATCCCTTGCAGCGTTCTCCGCCTGTTTAATCTTCGTCGCATCTTCTGATCGCTTCTCTCGAAGCTCCCTCTCCCTCGCCAATGCCTCTCTGGGTTAGTTGTTAGAGGGGGACAAAAATCGTCTTGTTAGATAGGTGTAGGTGTGGCCAGTGAAAAAAAATTGTCAATTTTGAGTGATTGCGTTGTGATTGCCAGATTTAATAATTTTTGTGTTGTTGTACGAGGGTAAAATGGTTTAAAATAAACTGGATAAGTTGGTTTTAATAGGTTTATTAAAAGGGAAAATTCAAAATAAATTCAATTTAGTTTTTTTAATAGGATTTCGTTTTAATTGGTAGTATAGCGTGTAACGTAAGTTTCGAGCCGTTTTTATCATTATATATAAACATTATAAACATACATGTACAAATTAATATTTTCATTATGGATTTGTAATTTTATAACAAAATAATAAATTTTAGTGGAAGAAATCTCTAGAACATTAAATTTATTCTTTCAATTACTTTTTGAACAATATGGCGTACGGTACGATATTATATTTCGAACATTTAATGTTTATATGTAGAAGAAGTCTACAAAAGTAGACGTCTAAGCATAGACAACAGTTTTATTTCTTAGTGCAGATTGAAGAGCTAAGAATTATTGATCAATATACTGGCAACATTTGTGATGTGTTTTAAATACAAAGTCATAATAGTAAACATTTTATTTTTACACACAAAATAAACTCCGTATAAAAATGAAACTTAACTTTAAATGATATCAATGATGATGATTAAAATAGACACATATTGAGCAATGAGTTCCATGATGGTGAACATTTAAATAAATGTAAAAATATATGAACATTATTATTATTAATAAAAGCTAGTGTTTTTTTTAAAATTGGAGGCTAGATAATTGAATACATTTATTATATGCTAAGTGTATTTGAATGAATTCAGTCCAATAGGCAGTGTTAGTAATAACATAAAATAATATCAATAAAATTCGATTACAATATTCTATAAATCGTTCGCTAAAAATATATCAAGTCACGTGAACAACTAACACATGACGGACTTTTCAGACTGATGTCCGAACAACAGGCGGACAAAAAGTCCGCTTAAAATATACTGAAAAAGAGTATTTCGATTACATTAAGTTGAGTTTTAGGTTTTTTGAACCAAATCCGTTGAAGAAATTATACAAATGACATTTAGGGTTGCTAGATTATTATATAAAGCTATTTGGCGAGTTGTTTTTTACAATTCTTTTGGTAAACAGCTCACGACACATTAACGATGTCAATTAGTGGAAGAAGAAATAGATTTGAACACTTTTTTCTCCTTACATTTGATGTCTTGATACTTTTTTGCTTTCTTACAAAGGATCACATTGATGATAATATTTCCCTAGTTCCAGAGACTCATGTGTCGTCAGCCACAATTTGAAATCTCCTTGAAAACTACATTGAACTTTTAATGGACTGTGGTAATATTTTATTAACCAGACACTTTTTTATGCTTATTCTTGCAAATTACATAGTAAAATATTGCATAAAATATGAGGTACCATTTCTTGTTCGCGATTTCTTTGTTTGTAAATAATCTTTAACGGATTTGTTTCACTGACATATAAACTTCATAGTCGTGATGAAGGCAAGTTCATTACTTATTATAAGAATATATTATTTTCCTTGATTAGTAAAAGTATTAAAGTTAAGTTTAATAGAAATAGTGACTTATCAAGTTTTGAAGTAGTTGGGGATAAACTTGTATTTCGCAAAATTTTTACAACATCAAATTTTAAGCAACGGCGGACAAAAGTCCGACATCTGATTCAAAACGCTAGAACTAGTTGTATAACTTTAATAATACATTAGTTTGACTAGATAAAGATTAAAAAAACCTAACAATACCTAACCACACATCGTTTTAGTTTAAGGTTACAGCTTTTGAATTGCTATTATAAGCCTTGATTTAAAAACGTTGTTCATTTAGTATACATATGGCACTATTCTACTATGTCAGTAAACATTGCTGGTTGAATGAAACTTTCAGCAGTTCTTTCTAATTCTTGATAGAGTTGATCTATTGCCTTCTAAAAATTTTAAACGATTAAGAATATAAACCACAGAGCACCGCAAGTACGGTTAAATTTAATGGCATGTGATTTTAGGTATAAAACTATTGAATAATACAATACACTGTGTCTTTAGACTTACTTGTGTGCAAAATAATAACTTACAAAATTTTAAAGTGGTCCTAATATATGCAATTTACAGAAGGATTTAGTTCAGCCTTTAATATCGTAAACATTTAAAGTGTTTTTGGAGAGGAATTTCATGATAAACTATTCCAATCGCCTTTTGTACACACGGCAAACGATATCCTGCTGCCAATACCTACAGGTCAGGTTCACAAGTGCGTGTTAATCCAGTAAGTACATAATTATAACTTTACGAGTATGTGTGAATTGTAAACAACTCGTTTCTTGACTCATACATTTACAAATTATTGGAACGAAGTTTTTTATCGCTCTGAGTGGATGGGAGCGAGACCGAACAATGTGTAACAAGAATTTTTGCCGACACAATAGCAAACGTCTACCAAAAAGCGAAAGGAACTTCGTTTCGACCGAGGGTCCATATACCACATAAAATGTAACCCCGTTTTTTTTTTAAGTTTCAAAAACTAAGTTTAATTTCTCTAGTTTCTCATTATTAATCAATACTGTTAGTCTTAACATGTACAGTAATTTTGCTGACCACTGTTACTTAAAGTAACATTTAACTTGTGGTATGGGCACCAGTTGTGAGTGAATGAAATGCATAAGGTGAATTGGTTAAGGTTACCATTAACATCTGCATTAAAATCACAGGTACTTCGTTTTTCTGCTTTAGTATTTCGTTTGCCTTGTGTACTAAACCCAGCACAATTGTCTTTCCTCACCAAAATAGCAAATACGATTTTAATCATATAGATTTAGTTTTTCTTATATCTAGCCCTTCGAATCCTCTTGAAGGTTCTCGCTGCTATCACCATCATGATGGCGATCGCCATTAGTCGCAACCAACCGCTGCCAACTACCGCGACCGCCGCAACCACAGCAATGCATAACCAGCTGAATAATATGAACCTTATTGATATAACTGTCCTATTCGTGTTGAAGGTATCCGGTCCGGTGGAGGGTATAAAGTCAGGTCATGTAGGGTAATAAAGAATATTGAGTAGACAGCAACGAGTGCATATTTCTATAGTCACGGGATAGATAGTCAATTTTACCTGGCATGCAAATTGTATAATAATAAGTTTTTTAAATAGGTACATGCATCAACGTAAAATTGGTATTTTTTGTATCTATTTTTGGTATCTATTTGAATGCATACTTCTCTAGTATGAAAGAAAATGAAACGTGTTCAACGAAATTAAAAAGGATATCGTGTGTGATGTTGGCAAATAACAGCGAACTAGCACTAGCGAACTTTGGCATCTAAAGTCTCGGTTCCAAGAAAAGTTCTGACTATTTTGACGTCAGGAAGCAAGTTGGTGTAATACAATACAGCCAACATACCATCTCCTCATCAATGATCAATGAACGAATGAAAATCTATTCATCATCAACAGCCTTTAACAGTCAACTGCTGGACATAAGCCTCTCCTTAGAGAGGAGGTTTTGGCCTACTATACCACGCTGGCCAGACGGGTTGATATAGGGTTTGTGTCAAGTTTTCCTTCTCTCTGCAGTGCTGTTGTTATGCGTAGTTTGTTCCCTTAGTCGGCTCTTACGACACCCACGGGATGAATAGGGGTGATGACACTCTATATTAATAATCCGTCACACCACGGACCAATCGGAAAATCTATTAATCTATCAAATATAAGTACGTTTGTGTACGTTTAAAAAACACTTCACCGATTGAGCTCAAATGTGAACACGACATACAACCCGTTTTAAACATGGTTTTTATCTATTTTTGAACCACAGCGAAGCGTGGCCGGGTACAGCCAGTATTGTAAAAATTGATGGGGAAGAAGGACAAATTTTGGTTCTGGATACATTTGAAGGGATGAGAAATGGATAAACTCTGGGAAATTAATGGAAATGTATGCAATTATAATAAAATACATTAAAATTTTATTTCTTAAAAGTAATTTAAAACTAATATAATTTAGTAACATTTATTCTTAAATATATTTTACTGAAATACTGCCTTTTGGACCGTTTTAAATAATGACGATGAAAGATGAATGTGTACACGGTGTTAATTTTAAGTTTCACTGATTTGATATATGCCTTTACTGCTCTAGAATACATCACCGTCTAATAGGGTAGCCTTTTTTTATGGTATAAAGGGGCAAATGAGTAGACGGGACACCTGCAACTCAAAAGTCACAAGTGCGTTGCTGCCCTTGGAGTCCCGGTCACCTCACTCACTCAGTGAAAGGCAACGAAAGAATTGCTTAATACCGGTTTTCTGTGAGGCCGTGGTATCACTCCGGTCGAGCCGGCTCATTCGTGCCGAAGCATGGCTCTCCCACGTAAAAATAATAAATTAATACTTAAAACCAATTGGCCTGTTTTTGGCAAAAAAAAATAGTTTTTTTGAAAAAAATATTCTATACCTAGTTACGTATGTAATGAAATTTTTATAGGAATTAATATATTTAAAATATTTAGACTTTTCCATGACGTAAGAGGCAAACGAGGAGACGGGTCACCTGATGGTAAGTAACTACCAGTTGCACTTATTTTTTTGTAATATACCTATATACATAAGCAACTGCTTGACACTTTTCGTGATCAGAAGGCTGGCCTTTTTCTAGCACAGAGATTTAGTATTGCCTTTCAACGTGGCAATGCTGCCAGTCTTTTGGGCACGCTACCAGTAGGCGATGATGCTGAGGAATTTTATGATGCTTGTATGTCACTTTTGCAAGTATTTTAATTGCATAATAATGTATTTTTTTGTTTTCTACTGTAAGCCTGAATATTGTAAAAGACTCATTAAATGCTAATACAAAACAGTTTTCAGATGCTTTGTGCAAAAAAAATAAAAATTTAACCACTTCTATTTATAAGACGATAGACGACCGGATCGAATAGTGGTTTGTGTAACGGACTGCTAATCCAAAGGTCGCGGGTTCAATTCCCGCTCAAGTCTCGGGACGTCTACATTTGTGTGCATTAACATTTAATGTTTGATTTGGTCTGGGTGTTTCTATATATAATGAGTATGTATTTACAAAAAAAAGTATTTATGTATTTATATCAGTTGTCTAGTACTAATAGTACAAGCTCTGCTTAGTTTGGAACTAGATGGCGTTGTGAAAGTGGTAAAAAAAGTACTTAAAAAGACGAAGACCTTTATGTCATATAATAAAACAAATATAGTATATTTTAAGTTTGCTTATTCGCAATTGGGTTTATTTTGAATCGGCAATTTTTTTAAAAGGCATATTTCAAAATACAATTGTATGTATATATATGTGGATAATATTGAAGTTAGTAATGATAGACAAATGATAATTATACATTCATGGAATTTCAACATGCGACAATGGTAGCCAAATTTGTCCAAAAGACAATATTTTAGATATATAATTAATCTCAAACTCAAGAGTTTTATGTAAAATAAGGAACCACGCTGGACTTGTATTAGAAATTCACACAGGTCACATTGATTTTACTATTATGCTGCAGTGTGTTTGTTTGGATGTTTGTTACTCTTTCACGCCAAAACAGTTAAATGGATCTGAATAAAATTTGGCATAGAGGTATACTGTAATCTGGAATAGTGCATAACTATTTTTTATTGCGGAAAATCGAGAAATGCAGAACGAGGATAAGTTCAAATCAAGACCTTGTCATCCAAAGAAATATTATTATGTTGAATCTCTGTGACTTATTTTTTTTTTTCTAAAAGGACTTTCAAAGTTTATTTTATATTTATATTTTTTTATTTTAGTTTATATTTATTTCTTGAGTTTGCTACTAATGTTATGTTAGTTATATAAATTAAAGAAAACTGATTTTAGAATCAAATTTCGCTACCAATTGCATTTGGTTGAATTAATGATTATTTTCATTGAGGAATTTAAAAGAGTCGTATTCAAAGATAAATAAACATACTTTGACATATCTGAGTAAAATATCTGAGGAAAAACATTTCCCCAAAATTACCAAATAAAATGCTTTAAGTTAATAATTCTTTGAATACGACTGTTTTGCTTTTTGGATTTTGCGTATCATGCTTTCTAAAAGAAAACTTTATAAGTAGAACGATATTCATAAATGCTATCTCGGAAATATTTTCTAAGCAACTAATTTGTGGCGGACTTCTAGTCCGTGGCGGACATTTTATTTATACAGTTACATTAAGATATCTTCCTTTACACGGAATAAAAGTCCGCCGAATCATAGAAAATTCCCGAGGCCTTATATCGTTGTACTCTTTAAGTCTTTGATAATAACTAACCTGAGTTCCTGCTCCGTGACTGCAAGTGTTCTGCCACAAGATGCAGCCCTCGCTGACAAATTGTCGTATTCAGAGGCTTGTGACTGCATTTTGAATTTTAATTCTGAAAACGAGTAGTTAATACTTAAAGTCTGTAGTTTTTTGGAGCAAAATTAATTATGACGTGACTGCTGATTTAGTTTCATAATCAAATATCGAAATCAAGATTGTATGTAGCGTACCTTCAATCTCTTCCAACAGTTCTTTCTCTCGCTTAACTCTTTCTTCTTCTCCTTCCTGCCGGCACTCCAACTTCATTCGAGACAGGCAACTCTCTTTGTCTATCATGAACTGTTCCCATTGATCGTCTGAAATGATTTCAACACGCATCTAAACCAAGATTGCCTGACACCGAAGATTTTTGTACAAGTTAGAATTGCCTTACTAGGTAAGTACCTACTGACTATTGGTTATCCGTACTAGCCCACTAAGGGGGCAAACTACGCAGGACAACAGCACTGCAAAGAGAAGGAAAACTTGAAACAAACCCTAAACCAACCCGCCTGCACAGCATGGTATAGTAGGCGTAAACCTATGTCCAGCAGTGGACTACTATAGACTTTTGATGAGGTAAGTACTATCTGTTGGTCAGAGAGAGGAAGGTAGCTTCTAGTATTATAATAATAAACTTTTTATTGCAGACCATGGTGTCCAATTTGTTAGTAACAATATTCTTAGAGACTAGTGTTAGTACAAAACAAAACAAAGAAAGATAGACATTAAGGTTTCCATTATTTTGATTCCTTTTTAGCGTATTTTTCATCGATTTCAAAACATGGAAGGTGCATAAAATTTGTTAAATCTAATTAAATTAAATTAAAGTTAAAAGATTTATTGCACTCTAAGGAGAACGAAAAAAAAATTTAAAGCATTGAAATCTGTGATCCTCAATTAGCAGTTGGAATCGAACCTCTAATAAAAAAAAACGACGGGTTGCACTCCGGGACTGCCGGCAGAAGTGAAAACTTGAATATTAACGTTGTGCATTTTTGATATTTTGGAATGGTTAGGGAATAATTTTGTACGAATTGCTTTAATTATCAGTATAAAAGTACTATCATGTATGTGGTAGAATACAATATTTATTTATTGCGCTATCGTACACAAACATGACAATTTATATTACATTTAAAAGTTTATCTCTCAGAAAAATGAACATTCGCGCAAGCGCCCTGCGCCGCCCAAACGAAGAAAGAGGGAAACGCCGCGTCGTAGAAAGAGGGATACTTCCTCTCCTACGCCGCGCCGGCTGTCTACTCTCCATCCGTCTTACGAATTTTCGATCAGGGTCTCGTGTCCTGATGCGAGTTTAACATTTTCTACCCATTACAAAAAAAGTGTACAACGCCGCTAAAAAAGTTTTCACTTCAAAAAGTATGGCACAGATATATTGATCATCTATCTCCAAACACTTACCCATGTCTTGTCGATGCTGTTCCTTCAATTTATTAACTTGGTCCAATTTCTCAGCTATTAAATTCATTCTAGTTTGATCTAGAAGTTGCTTAGCTTCTATTGCTGCGTTTGCTGCTTCCTCTTCTACGGCCGCCACCTTCTGAGTCCATTCAGAGATGAGTGCTTCTGTTGACACAGAAGAAACAGACGATAGTATAATATTTCGTGAAAGTATTATCCAGCCCAAGGCTTGGGCTTGGGCTCAAGAACATCTATTATATATAGAAACTATAAATAGAGACTATTATATATAGAACGTCTATTATATATAGAAATATCAGATCACTGTAAATAAATACATGTAGATATTTTTTTTATCACTAAGCGGCAATCAAACCCGCTATCTCTGAAGTGGCAGTAGTATGTTAAAAACACAATTTCTGTTTATTAGATTGGAGAACAATAGGCTGCTGTTGTAACCATATTTAGGATGTCCAACGCTCTCGGTGTCTCATGACTAAAGCGACCGATTTTTAAAAAATTCGAAAGTACATAACATTTACAGCAAAAAACATAATAAAATGACTATAATAAGGAGATGTATAACGAAATGTATTTCAGCGCCATCTGTCGAATACAAGACGCCCTTCATCGAGTAATAAGTTTTAACAATTATCCAACATCAACTGTTGGACCTGTTCAAAGGAACTGAAACATTTATCTACTAGCTAAGAAGACTCTCGAACAAGTCATTTTCAGTTCATCTGCTTCGGAACTACAATGCCGCCTAATGATACACAAAAATTGGAATCTGAAATTACCTTTCTCACTCTCATACCGCTGCGTCATCTCTTCGATCTTGTTCGCGTAGGTGATGTCGGACTTGTCGAGGAGATGTCGGAGCTGCATTATGTCCCAGTCGGCTTTGCTGTGAGCCTCAGCTATTGCTTGTTCAAACTGCACTTCTTTACTCGCCAGCACTTCTTTCAGGTTCTCGAACTATACAGTAAAAATGTTTAGCTTCAGTGCTTGTTGTAAATACTAAATCATCTAAGTAGTTTTAGTTGTAAAGTTTTCCTAACCGAACGTTTCAGACACGGGTGTAAAAGATCTAAGTCAAAACAATTTATTTATTTTAGAATAGGGGCAAACGAGCAAACAGGGCCTGATGGTAATGACTACCACCGCTTATTGACGGCTGCAACTCAAGAGTCACAAGTGCATTAGTTGTGGTTGGGCTCCGTTTACCTTGCTCACTTGCACTAAGTAAATGGGTCTCCGTTTTTGGTTACATTGGTAAACTTAAGTTTGTCATTCGAAATAAACGTCCAAAAAATTAAAAAAGAATTTATTCTTATTTTTTTTCGAGACATTATGTACTCTACAATTTTAATGATGTTACAAGTTACAAACTTGTAACATCATTAAAATGGTACCTTAGTGCGCTATTCAAACTCGCACTTGCCATTTTTCCAGTCAACTTTTGGGAATAATTAACATAATATTATCATCGTAGTTTTTATTGTTTTTCATGCTTTGTATTCCACGTAGCAGTTGAAGATAAAGATAAGTTACTAAATACATAGTTACTCATTATCAGTTATGAGTAAACATCATAGTATTAAAGTAAAATATTTGTGTTGCTTCTTCATTGTATGTGTGTACTTACTCTAGTGGTGACCTCTCTCAGTTTCCTGTCAGCATTCTTAGCGTCGTGTTCGTGCTCAGCGCGCAGCTGCTGCAGCGCGTTGCGCGTGCGCTCGGCGTGCGCACGCTCCAGCGCTGCGCGGGAGTTGGCCAGCGCCACAGCCTGCTCCGACTTCACACACTCTACAGTCTTAGAGTGCTCCTCTTGTAGACGTTGAATTTGCTGAAATACCACAGTTAAAGAAATTGAAAAAATATATCTAAAGAAATCAAGAAATAAAAGTTAGTTTAAGTAATAGACATTAAATGAAGTCGACTATGACGTAATTACTCAACTGATGCAAAACGACCACGTTCGGTGCGTTTCGTTATCAAAAAGATATTGCGTTTTACAAATTATTATCATGATAAAATCCTGATCTACACGGCAAACATGCTGATTTTTTTAAAGATTTTAGTTAAGCTTTTGACTCTTTATATCATGAAGCGATGTTTGGTTAACTTATCTCAGACTATCACATTATGTATACAGTACTGCGCTTATTTAAATTAACACAATCACAAATGTTAATGTAGCTAATATAATATACAACTCAGTTTGTAGGTCAAAGATTGTATCTTACGCAAAAAAATGGTGTCCTTCAAGGATCTATTTCTAGACCCACACTTTTATTATTAATATAACAACAAATTATATAAATGATATACCATCTGATCCTAAAACATTCATAATATGTATCGATAATCTAAATCAAACTGACCTTTTGATGTCTTTCTTCCTTTTCTTTCCCACTAGCGGTTTCTCTGTCTAACAGCTCTTTCAGTCTATATACTTCGAGCTTCAGCGCTTCTTCTCTTGTCTCCACTTTTTGCAACTGAAGGGTTAGAGACAAGACAGAGCGCTGTTGCTCCGAAACCACTCCTCTTAGCTGTTGGAGTTCTGCGACTTGAGCTGGAGAGGGTTGAGACTCAGCTTTTAATTTTTCTACCGTTTCTGTCAACTGGAACAATCAAAATTTATACTGTTACTAAAATATCTTTAGTGCTTCATACGGTATGTACTAGACATGAAAATTATTGCAACTTTTAAATCATATTCATTTGATGAAATGATTGATTTCAGTCACAGCGATTTCACATGTGATTGTAATTTCGTCATGGACAAAGATAAATGGCGTTAAAATCAATCAAAATCCCTTTTATCAATGATAGTTTTTTTTTAGATTTTACTTTTATTTACCTTTCGTGAGTCTTGCGCTAGCGTAATAATAATAATTAAGAAGTATTGGTTTTGTAAAACAGTCACAGGGTTGATGATATGATTTATTACATTTGTGATTTTATGCCATTCGTAATAGGTCCCCAAAGAGTATTTTTATTAATTTATCATGAAATTCTATTTATCTTTTCTCTTTTTATCTATTCAAGTGTTTTTTTTCAAAGACATAGTTCGATACTATTTTGAGTAGTTTATTGGAAAGATGCTCGCCTATTTTCTGAAACAAATATTGTTATATATGTTAGGTTTGTAATTGACAAGACATATTGTGGGTCGTTGTGGTTAGATTAAAGTTATCAAAAAGTTAAAGTTCTATGGGCAATTGGTAAAATAAAAAGAACCTAGACCTCCTTCATACGTCATGTGCAGCGAAGAGATTTGTGACACTGACTGTAAGGTACTAAAGACTATCTCTACCATTATTTTTATATAACTATTCGATTGTTTGAAACAGGATCAACTTTTCACCTCACCTCTTTCTTTTGCTTTTCGTTATCTCTGGCTCTTTTCTCCAGCTCCCTCATCTTCCATTCGCAGTCTGCCAGCATTCTTTCTGCGCGAGCGGCGGCTTGTGAACGCGCGGCCTCGTGTGCAGCACGCCATTTTGTTGTATTCGCTTCTGCAGCTGCTAAAGCCTGGAAACAGTCACAGGTATTAGTTATCTTTAATTGCAAAATATCATCCATCATTAAAGGAGTAGACAGAGTCGTTTGACATCTAGATAGTTAGCCTTTTACGTACAAATATTCCTCGTTCCAAATCATTACATGTCCAGGCAATATTCTGATTATTTATCGAATTATATTATTTGTTCTGGGTGGTAATGGAACTCGCGACCCATGGCTGCTAGTGAGGATCACTAACCATTAGACCGACAGGCACGTCTAATATGAAATAGCTGAATCATCTGAAATGTTACAACTCTTTTACCAACCTCTTGTGCTTTATGCTCCTGTAATATTTTCTCCTGCTCGAGTCTATCTTTGTCTCGCTCTAACGCGAGCACCCGTGACTCAAGTTCGGCTCTGTGAGCGAGAGCATCCTCCAATTCTGCTTTGATCTGCCTGATGGATTCATCTGGATGTTGGAAATAAAATTATTTTTTATTTGCAATCAAAATATTTCATGAAGGCTTTGAGTAAATACTTGTAAATGAATGAGCTTAAAAGATTTAGATTATGTATATAAATTATTTTTATAATCACTATTTAAGCATACGGAGTGCCCTATTTATCCCGTGGGTGTCGTAGGATCCCACTAAGGGAGCTAACCACGCATGGCAACAGCACTTCCAATAGTAGGAAAACTTGACACAAACCCTATACCAACCCGTTTGGCCAGCGGTGGACCATTAAATGCTGTTGATGATGATGATACAACAAATGATCGTGAACACCACACAATATTTATCCAGGGTGAGAATTGAACTCAAGCCCTTCGGTGTAGCAATTAGGGTCGCTAACCACTACATCTACAGGAAATAGGTAGAAAATAATGTAATATGTATCACTTATACACGAAAAAGCAACAAATTTTATGAACTATTTACGTATCTTGATGGCAGATCCTCAAATTATTAAGGAACCATTTCAGAGTCATCTTTCAATTAAAATAGGATAATTTTTACTCTTAAACAGAAACAAGAAAAATTAATTCTTACCGTTCCGCCTCTGCAGTTGTTCAGCTAAGTCTGCGGAACAAGTCCTGGCTGCAGAGAGTTCCTCTTCTAACGAACGACTCCGCTGCCTCACCAGCTCTGACTCCTTGTAAGCAGCTGCGAGCTCGCATTTTAACTCTGGAACATGATACAAAATTATCTCTATAAGTTCAAGATTCTCCAGACTTACACTAAATCTTATCTAGTCTAGCATTAGGTGTATGAACTTGCTCTGGTACTTTTAACCCACAATTTCAGATACCTATAGTTCTATAATATTAATGTCTTAACCATCACACCATCCGTGTGGTGACGGATTAAGAATACGGAGTGTCACCACCCCTATCCATCCCGTGGGTGTCGTAAGAGGCGACTAAGGGAGCTAACGTAGGACAACCAGCACGGCAAAGAGAAGAAAAAATTGACACAAACCCTATACCAACCCGTCTGGCCAGCGTGGTATAGTAGGCCAAAACCTCCTTTCTAAGGAGAGGCCTATGTCCAGCAGTGGACTATTAAAGGCCAGACATCATGATGTGATGATGATGATGTGAACCATGACACACACGGTCGTCTGATCCCAATTAAGGCAAAGCCTGAATGTAACCAAACTGCTGATAAACATATTTACACACAGATAAACTACATCCAGACACAGAACAAATGATCGTACTCATCATACAACATTTGTCATGTTTGGGAGTCAAACCCAACAGACAACTGACTGGTGGTTTAACCCATCACGTCGCAGCTTCCTACTGCGCTGAGTGTTGTCTATTCGATCGCCACAGGAGACAACACTTTATGTGATCTGCAAATTGTTTTTCTGAGTCTAGGTATTCTTTGTGTCCGTTTCAAGTTTGTATGTAAAGTCCTCCGCGACACAGGATATATTCCTAGTGAAGTTCCTTAAGAAACAGGCAGGTTCAGTCACGTCGTCTACATCCCGTGACGTGTAATAAATACCAGTGCATTAGCTGTAATATACACATGTGAGCAGAATCCGGTTCACTACACTTATAAATAAGCATGATACGTTTCTTAATATAAAATTTAATTAAAGGAAATCAATGATTTGACGCAAATTCGTTCATATATTATGATCAAAGGATGTTTTTGAAGTCGTTAAATTTCTATGGTAAAAGAATTTGACTAGTGTAGTGGACTATTTTATCGAAAATACTTGACTTTAAAAATAGTATCACCAATTTAAATGCGCATATAACACGTTGAATTGTAATAAACTATACTCTTCGTCGTTTTATTTTGTACCCTTTATGATTCTGCCAAGTTTAACAAAAACATGGATGATAATTTAATTTTGGTGTACAAAAAGTCATCCCAAACTAGACAGAGCTTGTACTACCATAGTAGAGGCTCTGTCTAGCTTTCGATCAGACTGCTGAAAACCCAGAAAAACATACTGAAAATATTTTTAAGTACATATGTATTATAGATAAATACCACCCAGATACAGAACAAATGGTCGTAATCATCACACAATTGTTTCTCCTGGGTGGGATGGGAATCGAATTTGACATGGTAATTTTTTCTACTTTTAAATCATATTCATTTGATGAAATGATTTCGTCATTGTCAGAGATAGTGTTTTTTTTTTTGTTATCAATGATTACGACCTTTTTTTTAGATTTATAGCTTTCGCGATATAGTAGACCAAAACCTCCTTTCTAAGGAGAGGCCTATGTCCAGCAGTGGACTGTTGATGATGAAGATACCTTTCGCGAGTCTTGGGCTAGCGTAATTATAATAATTAGGTTATAATAATTAGGTAATTAGGTATTAAGTAACAGTGGAGTTTGTAAGTCAGTCATGGGTGTGATTATATGATTTATCATATCACCTGTGATTTAGATTTTATTCCATTCCTAAATCGAATCTATGACCTCTAGTTTGGCAGCCAGGATCACTAATCACTAGAGCAACAGGCCCATCGACTGCTTAGATATTTATTGAAGTGAAACTTTTTTAGAATCGGTTTGAATTGTAACTCGATGTAACGAAAATGCGTCACGACAAAGCAACAAACACACAAATGTATGTTCTTTAGAATCGGTTTGATTTGAAACTCGATGTAACGAAAATGCGTCACGACAAAGAAACAAACAAATGTATAGGATTAAGTCGGCGAGAGAATGAGATAGAATACATTACACATTACTTTTAATATAATATTTTGACAGTGTGAATATTTTTATCTTTTTATTTAACACTAGCTGACGCTGAAAAAACGTTGCCTTAGTGGGTTCAATTCCCGGGCCGGTCAAAGTTTTATAGGGTTTTATTTAGATAAAAAAAAAGAAAAATAGCCTAAGTTACTCCTTTTATAGACATTTTTTTTCGCAAGTTTCACTTCTGCGATGTAACTCTTTCTGCTTAAATGATGTAAACTATTTATTGAAGCACATATTACTTGTTGATAACTAAATATAAATATTAGAGCTACTGTATAAGATTAGACTTCAGTTTCCTGAAATATTTGAAGGCCAGTTCATACATTATTTAGCCAGAATAGGCAGAAGTTTAACAGAGGTGTTTCCGACATTTAACATAACCTAGAAACATATTTTGGATTAGATGGGAAATGTTGGACTAAGGATGTCTTTACAAAAAGTTTATTAATTTAGAGAGGGGGTGGGATACTTTTAATCCCTAGTTATATTTACTAAGTTCGTGTGGTGATGGATTAAGAATACAGTGTTAGGGAATGCCAGAAATAACTTGAGCAGGTACCGGTAGAATACGTGTAGAAACGTCCCGACGCTAGCTTGGCGTCGGGACGTTTCCCTGAGTGCTGGAAGAGCGGGAAGCTGGTCCTATTAAGGAAGCCGGGACGGCCTGCCGATTCCATTTTTTTCACACTTTCCACACGTTAGGAGGAGGGGATCACGGAGGGGATTTCCACACGTTAAAAAAAAAAAAAAAATAATACGTGTAACTCAAACTATTGTCGGAAAAAGCGAGCCCTATAACCGAAATTTCCAAGTTATGCATTTGATATCGTGCTTTGTTTTATTTTTCTTTGTTATCTTAATGAAAAACTGCAGAAAATTTAAAATTTAGTTTATTTGAAGTTTAGAAGCACAGGTCACAGCGGAGCAGACGCGCGGAAATCTATCTATACTAATATTATAAAGCTGAAGAGTTTGTTTGTTTGTTTGAACGCGCTAATCTCAGAAACTACTGGTCCCATTTGAAAAATTCTTTCAGTGTTAGATAGCCCATTTATCGAGGAAGGCTATAGGCTATATATAATCACGCTAAGACCAATAGGAGCGGAGCACCAATGAAGAATGTATCAAAAACGGAGAAAATTTATTACTATTGAGAGACGCAGACGAAGTTGCGCGGGTCAGCTAGTGGATGATAAAAAGCGGGAAACAGTAAATGTCAAAATTGGTGACAGTTGTAATATGTGCGTTCCATTTCAACATATGTTATAAGAGGCAAGGAGTAGGTAGGTCACAAGGACGTAAGCGACTACCGCCGCCCATGAACAGATAATTAAACACTAATAACACGTAAACTATTTTCGTAAATATCTAATAGTAGGACCAGGTGACCCACACAACTTCGTATGTGTCTCTCAAAAGGAATAAATTATCTCAATTTTCGGAACATTTTTAATTAATGCTCCGTTCCTATTGGTCGCAGCGAGATGTTGTATAGCCTATAGCCTTCCTCGATAAATGGGCTATCTAACATTAAAATAATTTTTCAATTCGATCTAGTAGTTTTTGAGATTAGCGCGTTCAACCAAACAAATAAACTTTTCAGGTTTGCAATATGAGTATTTCGATTTTGATTTCCTAGATTATTTCATCATTGTCGTATAATTCATGTCGCTGCATCATAACTCAGCTATTTCAAAAGTTCAGTTCGTGGTGAACTCCTGGCGTCGCGCCAGCCACAGCTGCTTTCTCTGAGGTCGTCAGCATCATGACTCAAATCATTGCTCCGTACACAATTATACATATTCTTTGTTTGAGGATACTGTCGGTGGGGAGTTGGGTAGGGAATCTTTGTTCTAATGTCACGAATAATTCATGAGAGATGACAGGTGGAAATTATTGGCAAACGCTGGGGTGAAAACTTTATAACTTACTAGCTGACCCGCGCAACTTCGTCTGCGTCTCTCAATAGTAATAAATTTTCTCCGTTTTTGAAACATTATTCATTGGTGCTCCGCTCCTATTGCCCTTAGCGTGATGATATACAGCCTATAGCCTTCCTCGATAAATGGGCTATCTAACACTGAAAGAATTTTTCAAATCGAACCAGTAGTTCCTGAGATTAGCGCGTTCAAACAAACAAACAAACTCTTCAGCTTTATAATATTAGTATAGATTTATCTACTGAATATTACTTGCCGTAATTGTGAGACTGGTTCATCAACGCAGAACCTAAAAAGTTGGGGCCACAAACTTGAAATTTTGACAGCTTTTATGTTGTAGGCGCCCATTAAAAAATATTTTTTTTGGAAACACACCTAAAGGTGTAAAATAGAAAAAGTAGAAGAGAATAGAAACAAGATGGACGACCGGATGGCGTAGTGGTTTGTGTAACGGATTGCTATTCTAAAGGTCGCGGGTTCGATTCCCGCTCAATTCAAACATTTATGTGCCTAAACTTTTAATGTTTGATTTGGTCTGGGTTTTTCTATGTATAATATGTATGTATTTACAAAAAAGTATATATATGTAATTATATCAGTTGTCTAGTACCCATAGTACAAGCTCTGCTTAGTTAGGGACTAGATGCCTACATGGCGTTGTGTGAATGTCAAAAAAAAAAACACGTGGCTGAAGCTACCGGCAATAGCTGGTACGTCAAACACATAATCATGCCTATAAGGGCTAGGCAGAGGCTCATAGCTCATGGTACTGAATACTATATTTATGGAATGTGGAATTTTGGGAGTTTATTTTGTATAATCTATATTTTTTTGTATAATGCATAGAATAGAATATGCTTTATTGTACACCAATTACAGAAAGTTAGTTAAATATTACAGATGGATATGTAAATACAATGGGCGGCCTTATAGCAATCTCTTACAGGCAACCTTTGGATGGAAAAATCGACAGTAGATGAGAAGAAACAGTGGGTGGGTAGGCTTTTGGTAAAAGAAAGTTGAAAAGTTAAATTTGTGGAATGCACCAGAGTGTAACAAGTCTAAAAAATGATACTATCTGAATACTATCTTTATGGAATGCAGAATTTTGCGAGTTTATTTTGTATAATGCACTGCTTTTAGCATAAAATAGAATAGAATATGCTTTACTGTACACCAATTACAGTAAGTTGGTTAAAATTACAGATGGAAATGTATGATGGGCGGCCTTATTGCTAACTAGCTGACCCGCGCAACTTTGTCTGCGTCTCTTAATAGTAATAAATTTTCTCCGTTTTTGAAACATTCTTCATTGGTGCTCCTATTGGTCTTAGCGTGATGATATATAGCCTATAGCCTTCCTCGATAAATGGGCTATCTAACACTGAAATAATTTTTCAAATCGGACCAGTATTTCCTGAGATTAGCGCGTTCAAACAAACAAACAAACTCTTCAGCTTTATAATATTAGTATAGATAGCAATCTCTTACAGGCAACCTTTAGATGAAAAAATCGACAGTAGATGAGAAGAAACAGTGGGTGGGTAGGCTTTTGGTAAAGAAAATTTGAAAAGTTAAATTTGTGGAATGCACCAGAGTGTAACAATAGTTTTTCCTAAGTTTAAAAATGGATACATTTGTAACAATGTGAGCGGTATATTTTTGTCTTTTGATTCGTAGTAAGCGTGGGCGTGTATATAATAACAACTATCTGGGCTTTGGAATCTATTTTAAGGGCATTTGGCAACCATATCTCTCAATAAACAAGGAAGTACATACAATACATTATTTACGACAGACGAGACAAAATTATAGTAAAAAAATATCATAATATATTTATATTTCAACGAACAGGAGGGACTCGTAGCCTCCTACTGCGCTTAGGATCACACAAAGTGCTGTCCCATGTGGGGATCGAATCCACAACACTCAGTAGTAAGCGGCGAGGTGACCCCTTAAACCAGTCATTAACTGCAGTGGATCAACTATCATCATCATTATCAACAGCCTTAAGTAGTCCACTGCTGGACATAGGCCTCTTCTTAGAAAGGAGGTTTTGGCCTACAATACCACGCTGGCCAGACGGATTGGTATAGGGTTTGTTTCAAGTTTTCCTTCTCTCTGCAGTGCTGTTGTCCTGCGTAGTTTGTTCCCTTAGTCGGCTCTTACGACACCCACGGGATGAATAGGGGTGGTGACATTCCGTATTCTTAATCCGTCACCACACGGAAAAGTGTTCTTGTAATCTACATATTTCAAGAATAAACGATTTAATTTCAGCTAATTTTTTTATCAATATTGTTTAGTAAATCTGTAAAAGCAATGTTTGTTTTAAAAAAAATATCTATATTTAATTATTTGTTGTACATACACAATTTATTTTAAAATTAGCCTAAAAGTAATTAGGTTAATCGTTATTTGTACAGGAAATTGACGAAGTTTTCAACACAATTTTCAAGGGTAAAAAGTATTTTTGCCAACTGTATGTGACACAAAACAGATTTATGTAAATCCTTAATGATAGTAATTGAAGAAATGCACAAAAAAAACATACAATAACATCTGTGTTTCTGTTTTTAGCAGAGACGTGTTCAACACTGGCTGACTGGCGCAACATCAACCGTTACGACCCTCAAACCTTCAAGAAAAGAGCGTACTCCTGTCTCGAAGGCTGGCAACGCGCTTGTGACTCCTGAGTTGCAGGCTTTCTTGGGCCGTGGTAGTCGCTTTCCATCAGGTGACCCATCACACATCATCACATCACATCAACAGCCTTTAATAGTCCACTGCTGGACATAGGCCTCTCCTTAGAAAGGAGGTTTTGGCCTACTACACCACGCTGGCCAGACGGGTTGGTGTAGGGTTTGTGTCAAGTTTTCCTTCTTATTGCAGTGCTAGTGTCCTGCGTTGTTGGGTGCAACTAAGGGTCTTAGTCGGCTCTTACGACACTCACGGGATGAATTGGGGTAGTGACATTCCGTATTCTTAATCCGTCACTTCACGGACAGATGACCCGGACGGGTCATCACGGGTCGACCCGGTAAAAAAAAAAACTCCTGCGCAAAAGGAATAAATTTTCCTAGTTTTTGCAATATTTTTAGCGCTAGCGTGACGTTATTCATGCTAATATTATAAATGCAAAAGTGTATCTGTCTGTCTGTTTATCTGTCTGTTACCCCTTCACGCTAAACCGATTTCTATAAAATTTCATATAAGGATAGTTTGAGTCCCAGGAAAGGAAATAGGATAGTTATCCCAGAAATCGTCCTTTAAGGAGGTGAAAAGGGGATTGGAAGTTTTTATGGGAAATCAATAACCGCTGAACCCATTTTGATGAAGTTTTGTTTGGAGACAGTTTGATTCTTGAGGAAGGACATAGGGTACTTTAAGATCCGCGGTAAGGTCCGGGAGATGCTGGCGGAGCCGCGGGCATAAGCTTGAAGCTTATATAGCTTTCCTCAGTAAATGTGCTATCTAAAACTAAAAAAAAATTCACATCGAACCAGTAGATTCTGGTTAGCGCGATCAACCAAACAAACAAAGTTTTCAGCTTAATAATATTAGTATTGACTAGTTAGTGCCCGCGACTTTGTTCGCATGGAATTTGAAAAGCGCTGCTTTAGTGGGTTCGATTCTCGGACAAATTTTTATAGGGTTTTCTGAGAGAAAGAATAGCCTAAGTCACTCCTTATATAGACAGCTACATGGTAGTAACATAGTATCCAAATCGGTCGAGCCGTTCTGAAAATTACCCGGAACAAACAGACAAACAAAAAATATTTAAACTGGTTTTTAGGCATAGGTATCGTGCAAATAACCGTGTGAGCATGAAAAATACCTATTATTTTGACATTACATACAGACACTTCAATTTTATTTATTTTTATAGATGAATTGTTTTAAATCAAGCTTAATACGTCAGCAATTGTGAACCCACAATTTTTATTGTTTATAAAACTAAACTTTCAGAATGAAGTTAAATATGATGTACTAAAACTTACGTTCAATTTCCTGGTCCTTCTCTTCTATTTCCTGTCTGTAAGAGGAGATGAGTTCTCTCGCCTTCTCTGCTTCCCCACATCTGTTGTCAGCTAACTCTGTAAGTGCCGCAACTTGGGACTGGAATTTACTCTCTTGTGAGACGAGAGTCTTCCTGAAAAGAGATAAAACAAGATTTGTGAACAGTTTTTTTGATACGAATCACCTTTTATTTGACCCCAGCTTAGTCCCGGGTCTGCTCTTGAGTTATTTATTTATTTATTTATTTATTTCAGTTAGGAAAACCAACAGCTACAAAAATGAAATGGTCAGATTAATATGCTACATCAAGCCAATTACAGGTTTTCACGAATAGAATCATTGTAAATAACAGAGGTTCTGGAGCACTAACTAATACGACACTACACCTATACAACTATACAATAAATAATAATCGATCTAAAAATGTTACGATCTAAAAAATTTAAGGTTTAGCATACCGCGCACAACATTGCTTTTGGTATTAAAGGGATCAAGAGAGTATTCCTTGCACAATTTATTGAAATCTCCGCTCGCTCGCACAATATATGAATTTTTTCTATAGATTGAGGAAGAAATTGGAATAGAAATGGGTGGATTAAATCTAATCGACTTACGGGGGACATTAAAATTTAACTTTTGCAAAAGGCTAGGACAGTCAATCTCATTAGAAATAATTTTCAAAAGAAAAGAACTATCAGCTAATCGGCGTCGATTTACAAGTGGCTGGATATGAAATTTCTTACACAGACCAATGTAATTGTTTGAGCTATAAGGAATATTTAAACGAAAACACAAGAACCTCAGAAAACGTTTCTGTATGTTCTCAATGCGATCAATGTACTTATGATAGCAATTATATTTTTTATTTATTAATAGTTTTATTTATTAATAGTATTATTTATTAATAGTTATTTTAGACTGGTAATCAACAGAACATTTAATTGAATAAATTTTCTTATTCTTTGTTCTTTTTTGAAAGAGTGTTGTGGGTCCGATTCCCAGATGGGACGACACTTTGTGTGATTCGCAAATTGTTGTTTTAAGTCTGGGTGATCTTTGTATATATATATAGGATAATATATTCCTATCCGTGTGGTAACGGATTAAGAATACAGAGTGTCACCACCCCTATTTATCCTGTGGGTGTCATCGTGCCGACTGGAGTTAACTATACAGGTTAGCAGCACCGCAAAGAGAAGGTAAACTTGAAACAAACCATATACCAACCCGTCTGGCCAGCGTGGTATAGTAGGCCAAAACCTCCTGGAGATAGAATGGCAGCCTGATTGCATTAAGATGCAATCGGGCCGCCACGCCGCGATTAAGGGGGGAAGTGTTTTCCCCTGGGATAGGGCCTGATTAGGTATGCTTTCAATTCGGGGAGGACCTCAAATAACATGGTCCGGGTCCTCCAAGAGCAGGACACCTGAGGCCGGTCGTCGGGGTGGTTTTTAGTAGAATTATCGCATACTCCTGGGTCCTGAGTCCCCGAGGGGCAGGCAATCTGAAGGGATTTTCCACCCCGTCAACAAAATGAAAAGGCTAAAACCTCCTTCCTAAGGATAGGCCTATGTCCAGTACTGGAGTAGTAAAGGCTGTTGATGATAGCTAGTGTTGACTAAACACTGGACTAGTAAAGGCTGTTGATGTTGACTATCACAACCAGCCTGTACGTACCAATCTCTCGTCTGACCAAATATAATTCAATTGATTCCTCTACAAAACCAAGCCAAATCGAGAACATACACATTTCACTGGTTAATATCTAAACGGTGATAAAATCATCTCGAGTGCCGTTCAATGATATCGATTTATTTAAGGAAGGTATTTCTTGTCGATTCTCGATTTGTTTCAAGGTAAAATTATTCGATAAATATAGTGTACAATGTTTCTTGTGTATTATACTAGTTGTTGACTGCTATTTACATGCTTTTCTGGTTATTGCTGAGCTCTTAAGGGTCGTAGTGTTATGTTTTAAGGCTTATACGGTTATGACTGGCCTGTGGTCCAGCGGTTGCCGTTTCTGACTGTAGAACTAGTGCTCATTTTTAACTTTATACTTTTTATTAGTAAAAAATCTCATCTCGTCTATACAAATAAATAAAATTGGAGTGTCTGTTTGTAATATTAAAATAACCGCTTTTTACTAAATGCATATGTATGTTTACACGGTACATATGCCAAAATAACATTTTTTACAATTTTTGTCTGTCTGTCTGTCTGTTTGTTCCGGGTAATCTCGGGAACGGCTGGACCGATTTCGACGGGACGGGCAGATAGCTGATGACATAAGGAGTAACTTAGGCTACTTTTTTTAGACTAGCTTCGCCCCGCGGCGTTGCCCGCGGTTATAACAACAAACGCGGGTAACACCGCGGGTCTCAGCTAGTATAGAATATGTCTAGATGCTCAAATATTTTACTTAATTAAGTGTGCTTTGCTTAGTTAGAAACAAGATGGCGTTGTGTGTCAGATGTCCGAAATATTTTTATTATATTATTAAACTAGCTGGTGACTGCGACTTCATTCGCGCGGAATTTGAAAAGCCCTGCCTTATTGGGTTCGATCCCGGACCGGGCAAAAGTTTTACTAGCAGATTTTACCGATCCAATTTTTAGTTACAATACGATATAATCAAATTACAGTCAAGGTTGGATGTTTAATAGTTTACTACGAAAATACCTTTTATAATAGCTATAAGATCGAAAGTTGATCGGAACTGAATTGAGACCAAACTTTTACTAAGAGAACTAGCTGAGACCCGCGGTGTTACCCGCGTTTGTTGTTATAACCGCGGGCAACGCCGCGGGGCGAAGCTAGTCTAAAAAAAGTAGCCTAAGTTACTGCTTATGTCATCAGCTATCTGCCAGTGAAAGTCCCGTCGAAATCGGTCCAGCCGTTCCAGAGATTACCCGGAACAAACAGACAGACAGACAGACAAAAATTGTAAAAAATGTTATTTTGGCATATCGTACCGTGTAAACATACATATGCATTTAGTAAAAAGCGGTTATTTTAATATTACAAACAGACACTCCAATTTTATTTATTTGTATAGATTAACCTTTTGGTCTTGTCCAGGACAGAAGACCAGGCGCCGTAGAGCACTTAAATAAACCAAGTATATTTTATTTAAAATAACGGGTAACAAAAATATTATGGACGCGGTTTCCTGTTCAATACGTGACTGCGATTCCAGTTATTTATGCGTGTAAAAAAACATTATACATTGAAAACATATGTTTTGGTAAAACGGCTGTTTTCAACGAAATAAAACTATACATTTTAAACACAAGAACGATTGTTGTTCCATTGCTGTTTAAGTTTTGGAAAATAACGTTTTACATTGTTTTGAAAAGGTAGTTTTTAGTTATGTGTTCTAATAGTGTTTGTTAATGTTATGGGTATTATTCGTTCTTTTCTTTTTTCTTTTTATAAAAGACAACTCCCGCATTAGGAATAAATCCTATGTCGCGGGGGCTTAACAAACATACATGAAACGGACACAAAGTACACCCAGACTCAGAACAACACTTTGTGGAACAACAACAAAGTGTTGTCCCTTGTGGCGTTTGAACCCATAACACTTGGCGTAATAGGAACCGGCGTGGCCACCGCTTAAACCACTACGCCATCCGTGCAGTCAGTCATTATTTACTAGTTGTCTCGCGCAACTTCGCCTGCGTCTTTTAAAAGGAATAAATTTTCTTGCTTTCGCTCTTGTCACGCATTCACCAGCTTACTCCCCAAGGTACTTCTTAAATGTTTATATTTATTTTACTATATTATAAATAACCCAAAATCGATCAGAGTAGCGTGCAATAGGAGAGGCGTATGTCCAGCAGTGGACTGCGATAGGCTGATGATGATGATGATATACCTGTTTATTATTGTGTACCTATATAAGGTGGTTTATTGTTATGTAAAAAAGCGCTTCTCGCCTTCAAACGTAAAAGTTTGACGAGTTTAGAACTAAGTAACATTTCTGTGCTATATTTTAATTATTAGAATAAATAAAAAAGGACATTATGGAACGCAATAAATAATTAAGTATTGATTAAAAGTGGGCTGTATTGTTAAATGGCTTTAGAATCGGTTTGTTAGGAGTTCGAAGTTTTGAGCACTGCGTCATTTATGAATGAATTAATTTATTACAACAGCCTATAATAGTCCACTGCTGGACATAGGCCTCTCCTTCGAAAGGAGGTTTTGGCCTACTATAACACGCTGGCCAGACGGGTTGGTATTGGGTTTGTTTCAAGTGTGTTGTGCTGTTGTCTTGTAGTTAGGTTAGGTAAAGAATAAGGACCAATTTCCCATAAGGGCAGAAAATTAAGGAATGGGGAATACAGTTTATTAAAATTCGATGGCGATATAGTTTATTAAGATTCTTACGATGGGGCATTAAAGTCGGCGATGCTTGTTTAAAGTAATTTATTCATGTTAATATTCCTTCGTCCGTGTGGTGACGGATTAAGAATACAGAGTGTCACTACCCCTATTCATCCCGTGGGTGTCGTAAGACTAAGGGAGCAAGCTACGCAGGACAATAGCACTACAAAGAGAAGGAAAACTTGACACAAACCCTATACCAACCCGTCTGGCCAGCGTGGTATAGTAAGCCAAAACCTCCTTTCTAAGGATAGGCCTATGTCTATGGACTATGAAAGGCTGTTGATGTGATTCTATGTTGAGTACCTAATAAAAGATAAGGATTCGAATCAAATGGTTTACTATTGTGGTGGAACGGGTGTCATGTCCCTCCAACACAAAGGGAGGATCCTCCGACCAGGCGAGGTGATCATGCCTGGCGGGCCGCGGCCCAACGTTTGATGTTGGGAAGTTGTATATCTGCTAATCGGCGAGGGAATTCTTTATATCGCGATACAGGATTAGCAATTCTGATTTTAGTAGTTACTCCGTAGTTCGGTGTGTCTTCATTAGATGGCGCTGTAGTATGTTTCTGTTTCTTTGTATGTGGGAGTCGCCACACTATAAAAACTCAATTTCTATCGTCTAGAACCGATCGAAATCACACCAACTAAATGTAATGAACTTTAACAGAAGAATTCGTTAAACCCACAATATACGAAAGGGTTTTTTTTTATGAAAAAGGGAGCAAATCAGCAAACA